ACAATAATAATAATAATAATAATAATAATTAAGAATTAATGAATTTTTATAAAACTTTGGAATTTGCATCATCGCATTTAAATAAAAAAAGAAGAAGAAGAAGAAGGAGGAGGAAAAGAGACAAGAATGCGTCGAATAAATAAAATGGACACAAAGAGACAAAACAAAAATAATAAACGTATTATTGATAATTTCGATTGATCGATTGATTGATTATCGATTTCCTATCGTCTACCTGTAAAGGTGAAAAAAAAAAAAGAAAAATTTTTCAAACCACAATTTAAGGGAGCCGGAAAAACCGTTTTCTGTATAAACATTATAATATTCCTACGCCTCAAAGAAAATAATAATAATGATAATAATATCATCTTTATCACGACGAAATGATGATGATGATAATAATAAGGGGGGTATGATTTAAAAAAAAATTCTCGATCGATAATTTTCATTTTAAAGACTCTGTCGTGTCATTAGAACGACGTCAAATTTTTTTTGTTTATTATTTAATCGCGAATTCTTCTGCGCGCCAAAAAAAACGCGCGGAAAATTATGTGACAAACGAATAATGATGATGATTATTGTGTGATAAAACGATAATAATAATAACAATAATAATAATAATAATAATAATAATAATAATAATAATAATAATAAATAAATTAACACACACACACGGGTTTAACGTTTCGTTTTAAATGAGTGAGCGGGGGGGGGGGAGAAGAAAAAAAAAATTAAATTAAATAATTAACATAATAATAAAATCATAGTTATCAAGGTTCGATTGCGTCGTTATTATTATCATTATCATTTTTAATTATTTCTACAATATTATTATAATAATAAATTAATTAATTAATGAGTATTAAAAAAAAAAAAAAAAGAAAAAAGAAAGAAAGAAAATTACTCAAGTTTTTCTTTTGCAAGAAAAATTATCATTATCATTATTATTCATTTTATTATTAATTAAATCGAGTTTTGCGTTTCTTATTAAGAATTAATTTTTCCTTACGATTATTATTATTATTATTATGATAAACAAGATTTTTCGATTAAAAAAAAAAAAAAAAAAAAAAAAGTAAATATTCTCGAAATTTTTTTCCGAGGGACTCCCCTTTCATCTGACGTCATCATTTTTTTTTTTTTTATTACTGTTGTTTATTTATTACCCGAATTTATTAAATTATCTTATAAAAGTTTAACTTTGACGTCATGGATTTCACTACTTGGAAATGGCTGGGAGGGGTGCGAAAAAAAAAAAAATAATTTCTTCGAAACCTTTTGAGACGGGGAAGTGGAAAATCGGGGGGGGGGGGTTCGCGTAATATTTTTCAAAAAATAAGGGAAACGATTCGATAAAAAATTAATTTAAAAAAAAAAAAAAGTATGGTTGTCGAATGTTTTTTTTTTTTTTTTTAATTATACCTGATTTCAGGGCTAATTAATTTTTTAAGGTCTTTTTTTAATTGGACAGTAGGAAGTCAATGATAATAATAATAATAATAATAATATTGAAATGAAAAGGATCGAATGGTGGCTCCCTTGACCTTGAAAATTAATAAAATAAATTTTTTCTTTTTTTTTTTTTTGGTACGCGCGTTTCCGTTTCAAAACGATACGCGTTCTAATTTACGATTGTCAAAAATGGGGGGGGGGAAATCGAAAAAGAAAGAATCCCGAAGGAACGGACGAAAACACTCAACACAAATCCCTGTTAAAAATATGCAAATAAAATGTATAAAAAAAAAAACAAACAGAAAATACCTCGAGAGTCACACCTGTAAGAAAAGAACAAGTGAAAGGCATGAATGAGGAAAGGAAAAAAAAAACGCGCGTCAAGGGTATCGTACGCCATTACCAATCGAAGTAATGTTGGTTAGTGAATAAGCAGAAGTGGGAAAAAACATAATAATAATAATAATTTTTTGAAAGAAATTTAAAAAAACCCGATTTTGTACGATACGACAAAAGAAAAAACAATCAAACAAATAAACAAACAAACGACGACAACCCTCTATCGAAACCTACCATGTTATAACAAACAATAAACACGGTATCGAGAATGAGTATAACCGAAGGTAAAGTTCGTGAACTTGACAGTGGTGAGTGCGTAAGTACGGTACGTACGTACGTAGGTTACGGTACCCTAGAAAATGTTGAGATCGGAAAAATAAGGAACGACGCCGAAATGGAACCACGAATCTGTCGTGGTATAGAAAAAAGAAAAAGAAAAAGAAAGAAAAAGACAAAGGCGAAAAGAAAAGCATGCGTGGATTGGAACAGGACGCACGAGGTGAAACACGATCAACAAGTGGGGGGTCGTTAAAGACCAATGAAAAGTTTTCATACCGGAAAGCGATTTCCCTACGAAAAGGTGTACGCGATTTAAAAGGTGGGAGACAATTTCGTTCTCCTCTCCCCGATAAAGGTGGGGGACTAACATCTATTTATAATGAGTGGGTGACCCAGAGGGTGCTCGTTTGTTTGATCATTGCTTGTATACGACGGTCGTCGTCGGTTAATATTTTTTTTTTACGGAGTTTATCTCGTGATTGTTCTGTTCATTTGTGGGTGATCGGTTAGTTTTCTGTTCTTTAAAGAAGAAAAAGAAGAAGCCGTCAGAGGGAAATCAATATTAATATTAATATTATTAATAATAATAATAATAATAATAATCATCAGCCTGGCATTTACTGCGTTTGGACTCCTCAAGCACTCACACAACGTTTGTTCTATTCACGAAACTCCGATTATTCGAGTAATTAATAATAATAATAATAAATCAAAAATGTCTGTCGCTACTGCTCAAAAGAACCGCGAAATGTTTGCCGTCAACAAATCGTATAGTGTTGAGGTGAGTCAAAAAACTAAAATATTATCATTTTTTAACCTTCTATTTTCCATAAACAAAAACAAACAAACAAACGAACAAACAACCATTTTGTTACCTTTGAGTTACTACGTCGTTAACACCCCAAATTTTTTAAACCCTCCCCCCTACTTCCCCTACCCTACCCCCTTTCTCTTCCCTTTTAAACCGCAAAAAATTCAATTTATTGCTTTTGTGCGTGCGTGCGTGTGTTTGTTTGTTTGTTTACGTCTTCTGCTTTCTTTTTTTGTCGTAATAACATGACCGTAAACTACAAGTTTTTAACGTAGTATTGAAAATTACGTAATAAAAAAAAAACATAAATAAATAATTTATTCTTTTGTATTTAAAATACATTTAAAAAGAGATTTTTTTTTTTTTTTTCTAATAGAAAACTCACGCGTATTCTCACGCACGTTTACGCATATATACACACGCGGAAAATTATTTATTTATTTATTTTGAAAAAAAAAAAAAAAGAAAAGTTTTTAACCGATCGTAAATTAATAATTTTTAAAGACCGAAAGAAACATAATTTGTGTAATTAACAAAAGTCGAACAAGGTTATTTAAATTCCAATTAAAAACTAAAAATAATAACTAAAGGCAATGTCAATTATTATTATTATTATTATTATTATTATTATTATTCGTTTAAAAAAAAAAAGTTTACGACTAAATACGAGTAGATTCTTCACACGTATTTATAATAAATAATAATAATAATAATAATAATAATAATAATAATAATAATAATAATACGAAAGGATTATATTATCATTATTAAATTTTTTCTTTTTTTTAATTGATTTAAAATTCAGGGTCGTACCTAATTCGAATCGAAAAAAAAAAAGAAAATATTTTATTAACCAATTGAAAACGACGGCAATAATCTCGGTCAAGCGTGTGTATTATGTGCATGTATGCAGGCATGCGTAAGTAAGTGCGTGAGTGCGTGAGTGCGTATTTAATAATTAAACAAATAAAGTTTTGTTGTTGTTGTTTTAAAGAGAGAGAGAGAGAGAGAGAAAGAGAAAACAAATTAATATTAAATTTTTTTTCAATGGTCAATCAGGTAAGAGGAGTGTCAACCGGTCTGTCGTCAGATTATTACCATAACATTATATATTTATTCGTGAATGAAAAATGATAATAATAATAATTTTCGTAATATGCCAAAAAAAAAAAAGAAAGAAAAGAAAATGGGAAGAGTGAGACGAAGAGAGAAAGAGAGAGAGAGGTCAATGGTTAACGATAAGTAAAAAAAAAAAATCGAAAATCGTTCGAGAACGATTCGATTTCGCGAGAAAACGATCAGCATTAGAAATTTAAAAAAAAAAAAAAAAAAAAAAACTTTTAAATTTTTGTTTAACAACCGACAAACACACACACACACACAACACATTTCAAGGGCTCTCTCTCTCTCTCTCTCTCTCTCTCTCTTTCTCTCTCTAAGTACATTTTTTTATTTGGTATAATATAAAACTTGTTGTTCGATTTGTTAGCCAATTCCTCGGGGCTTATTGGCATCAAGTAAAATCACGCGAACCTACGGTTGGCAATCGTGTCATTAATTTTATATCGGATTCAATCGAAATTAATTAATAAAAAAAAAAAAAATTTTTTACTTTTTTCTTCCACTTTTAAATTTTGCATGTAATTTTTTACTTCCCTTTATTTGATGGTGACTTCCCCCTAATCCGCCTCTTCCCTCCCCCCTCCTACTCTCACCACCGAAAAAATTCATTTTCACAATTCAACCTTGCCTTGTCACCATCATCATCATCATCGCAATACCTCGCGATATTTGCGCGCAAAAACTTAAAGAACAAATAAATACATTAATAAAAATAAAAATAATATTAATAATAATAATAACAACGATCACAAACAAGAACAAGAACCATTTGCTGAAATAATAATAATTAAACAATTACGTAGTTGACAAACGACATTAATAATAATAATAATAACGATGTTAAATAGCAATAATAATAATTATTATTATTAATACAGTGATAAAATGTTATAGTTAATATAAATGACGAGGCATAATTGGACCGGTAAAGAACGCATGGAATAAACGAAGGTTAAACGTTGCAATGATCGGAGGCATGGCACACGCGCACGCACTCACGCACGCACACACACACACACGGTACCACCGTGCTAAAACTCGAGCCTTGACCTGATAGAGATCTTGATACAATAAAAATGAACACAACCACAACCAATAAAAAAAAAAAAAAAAAAAACACCATCGGCATTATATATATATATATAAATATAAATATACTTTTTAAGTTTTTAAATATATAAAAAAAAAAAACAACATAATAATAATAATAATAATCACCTCGCAATTTTTCTGATAACGCAGGTTGTTTCAAAAAAAAAAAAATCAAAATTTTTAATGTCAAGTGACGTCATCAAACGAAAATATTTAAAGACTCGTTATATATATATTAAAAATTTATTATTATTATTATTATTATTATCGAGCCGATGAAAAACAAATAAATTTTTTTATTATCGTTAAAATTACAATCGCGAAACCGGATGTATCGAAATGATAATGATAATGACAATAATAATATTAATAATAATAATAATAATGAAAACTCGCGTATGAATTACACTCGTTCCAGTTGTTTAAATTAAATTTTTTATTCTATTCGCGAAAAGAGAGAAAATAATAATAATTATTATTATTATTATGAACGTGTTTAAAAGCCGAAAGGATCGGTGTGGGAAAATGTCGCGACTTTGCAAAAATGCGGCACGTGATAATGGATTTTCCTTGTATTTCAAAAAAATGTCCGTTTTTTTTTTACTCGGTTTTAAATTTTGAATTTGATATATGATGGAATTGCGTTCGGTCGTTCGTTCGTTCATTCATACGTTCGCGAACGTGACTCGATAAAATATCAAATTGAAAAAAAGAAAAATTATTATTATTATTATAAATAGAAAAAAATAAAAAAAATGAAAGGAAAAAAAAAAAAAAAATAGAGTGCGGTCCATTAACTTGTTTTGCCTTGATGACCACCACGAAAAGAGAGAGAGAGAGAGAGAGAGAGAGAGAGAAATCGGATTTTAATTTTAGTATCGTAACGGAATTCTAAAAGTCGAAGAATTAAAAAAAAAAATTTTTTTTTTTTAAAAATCATTTTTATAAAATCTCTTCTCTCCTGAGGGATTGAATGAAAATTGCTTCGAAATCCCCGGGAACTTAACCGGAAACTTGGAAAAAGTCTTTGAAAATCCTTTATGAAAAAATCATTTTTCTCTTTCTCTCTTTCTCTCTCTCTTTAAATTATTTCCTTTCCTTTCCTTTCCTTTCCTTTTACTCGACTATTATTTTCTCCAGGGCGGATTTTCCATTTTCTTTCTTTTTCTACTACGATATTAATTCATTCACAGCAAAAAAAGAATTCCGGAAAGACAAGTAAAAAAAAAAAAAAGTGAATGTGCTCTCGTTAAAAAACTTTTCTATCTCTCTATCTCTCTCTCTCTCTCTCTTTCTCTCTTTCAAATTATCGTTCGATTCGTTTTTTTTTTTTTTTTTTTTTTTTTAAATTCACCGCCTTGTCAAACCTGAAAATTTTCCACAAGGACCTTAAAGTCGTAAAAAGTAGAAGCGATACGACCCAGTGATCCAAAAAAAAAAAAAAAATTTATCAATCCGTCATTATTATTATTATCACTACTCATAAATACTAAAAAAAAAAAAATCGCCGGAAAACTCGATCGATACTATGAAATCGTTACGAAAAAAAAAAAAAAAAACTTTTTCGTAACCGCAAAGGAAAATTTTTTTTCAAAACTACGATTCGAATCCTGGAAAAATAAAGAAAAGAAAATTTTTCTTTTCGATCGATCGAACGATTACCGGAAACACATTTAGGGAAATAGATTTAAAAGTTGAAAATTTTTATATCAAAAGGAAATCTTTTGTCAAAAGTTTCATTTCCTCTTTCTTTCTTTTTTCCAGAACGGATATCCAGCACGTAGACGATCTCTTGTTGATGATGCACGATTTGAAGCCGTTGTCGTCAAGCAAAATAAACAAGCTGGATTAGAAGAAGCAAGACAAAAAACAAATGGTATGTTTCCTTCTTTCATTTCACAACAACCAAACAAACGCATACCTAAATTTTTCGTACCTTTTGCACGAATGCACATCCGCTTGTTGTTGTTGTTGTTATCACACCTATTTTTAATGCACGTTTCATTAGTTGTTGTTTTTTTTCTTTTCTTTTTCTCTCGCACGTAATAGGTGAAAATTCAGAAGATATTCAAAATGTTGAACAAATTCAACTTCAATCAACCACCGGTAGGTACCAACACCGATTTCATTTATTATTATTATTATTATTATTTAACTTTGAGTAGTTTAAACCAAACAATCTTCATTCCGTTTATCCCGTTCTATTTCCCACGACTTTTCCGTCTCCTTCAAATTGTTCCTGTAGTTTAACGATCGTTTTCCATTAGTCACTTTTAAACGATTCGTTTATTATCCAGTCCTTGGAATAGTTTTGGAATGCAATCCCATAAATATTTTTATCACATCCGTTTCGTGAGGTTTTTTCTTCTTTTTAAATCCGACGAGAAACAGATTAACCGGCGGATTAAGTGTTTATTTTATGATAGCATGGCTTTATAATAATTATGTTGAATGTCGTTTAGATGTATCCTCTGGTCAAAATGGAGAAGAAGATTCCGCATTTAGCGATTCCGTCGAAGATGAATGTGAAAACATTGAACAAATCGCCGGTGAGTGATTGATTGATTGATTGTTTAAAAAAAAACTAGAATCCTTTTCTTTCTTGTATTCTCTTTCTCATCGCTGAACGATTTGTTTTTCATATTTTGCAGATTCCGAATTGACCGAAGAAGAAATGTTCATACTCAATGCGTCGTCTGATTCTAAAATCGATGATAAAACCATTCAAAGATCGACTCTCATGTTAAAACTCAAGGATGGAATCGGTTCTTTGGCCAGAATATTAAAAACCATCGAAGTACGTGTTGTGAAATTTTTTTAATTTTCTTTACATCGAATGTTCGAGAGATGGAAAACGTTGCATTAAATTTTCTTTCTTTTCTTAAAGAACTTTAAGGGTACCGTCGTACACGTTGAATCGAGACCATCAAACGTTTCCGGCGTTCAATACGACGTTCTTATTAAAGTTGATTTGACGAGACAATCCTTACTTTTGTTGATTCGTTCTCTTAGACAAAGTTCTGCACTCGGTGGTGTTAGTTTGTTAACCGATGAAAAAGTTAATGTTAAGGGTAGGTAGTGTGATGACGTCATTTCACGATTCGATTCGGTTGTTACATGTTGTTTGATTTTGTTTTTTGTATATACGTCCAGATCCATGGTTTCCCAGGCACGCTAGGGATCTTGACAATTGCAATCATCTCATGACTAAATACGAACCGGATTTGGATATGAATCATCCAGGATTTGCTGATAAGGTATACAGGGAAAGAAGAAAAATCATTGCCGACATCGCTTTTGCTTACAAATAGTGAGTTGTTTCCATTTTTTTTTTTTCATTTCCGTCGTAAAAAAGTTTGTTTTTAAATAAATTCTTTGTTTTAAATCATCAGCGGAGATCCAATACCAAGAATCGAATATACCGAAAGTGAAACATCCACATGGACTGCAGTTTTCCACACGGTTAAAGACCTCATGCCAAAACACGCTTGCCAAGAATATAGAAAAGTATTCGCCATGTTGGAAGAAGATGGAATATTCGAAGCTAACAAAATTCCACAACTTGAAGACATGTCGGCTTTTTTGAAAAGTAAATCATTAACGATTGATTGATTGATTGATTGATTGAATCCTGTCTGTTTTTCGATCGAAGTAAAAAAATATTAATTTAATTTGATTTTTTTTTCTTTTCCAGAACACACCGGATTCACATTAAGACCTGCTGCCGGATTATTATCTGCCAGAGATTTTCTTGCCAGTTTGGCATTTAGAGTTTTCCAAAGTACCCAATACGTTCGTCACACGTCTTCTCCATACCACACTCCAGAACCGTAAGTTTTTTCTTCTTTTTTGTTATATCGACGAATTCTATTTTAGAGATCTTGAAAGGTCTCTCGGAAAAATCATAAATGAAATTAAAAACCCTTTTGAGTTAAATTAATAATTAGTCGAACCTTTTTGTTTGAACTTTTAATAAATTGCTTTTGAAATAATTAAATTTTCAAAACGATTTTACATCTTCATTTTATCATCATCATTATCATCATCATCACTTTCTCGTTCCTTTACGTTTAATCAACAAGTCGGCCTCGTTCCGACATCGAAAAAAAAATTTTTTTTTTTTTTTTTTTATTAGAATTTTAAATCGATATTATTATTATTATTATTATTATTAGAATTTTTAAGTTTCTCCGATTATCATCGATAATTTTTTTTTTCTCTCTCTTTTCTAAATTATTATTATTATTATTATTATTATTATTATAAATTTTTCAGGGACTGCATTCATGAACTTCTTGGACACATGCCACTTCTTGCCGATCCTAGTTTCGCACAATTTTCACAAGAAATCGGACTCGCCTCTTTGGGTGCTTCCGATGAAGAAATCGAAAAACTTTCAACCGTTTATTGGTTCACCGTCGAATTCGGTCTCTGCAAAGAAGCTGGAACCGTAAAAGCTTACGGAGCCGGTTTACTTTCCAGCTACGGAGAACTTCTTCACGCTATTTCCGACAAACCGGAACACAGGAGTTTCGATCCGGCTTCGACCGCCGTTCAACCTTATCAAGATCAAGAATATCAACCAATTTACTACGTTGCCGAAAGTTTCGAAGATGCTAAAGAAAAATTCAGGTGAGTGAAACCGCAAAAAAAAAAAAAAAAAAAAAAAAAATTCCAATTTTTTTACCTCTACGAAATTTCAATTATGCAATTTTACATACTTTCACGCTCTCAATTTTTATAACCGACACAAACCCCTTCAAAAATTTCAATTATGCAATTTTAAATTGTATTTCGAAATATTCCAGACGATGGGTATCGCAAATGTCCAGACCTTTCGAAGTCAGATTCAATCCACACACGGAAAGAATCGAAATATTAGATTCTGTCGACAAATTGGAAGGACTCATGTCTCAACTTCAATTGGAAATGCTTCATCTCACGAACGCAGTCAACAAAATGAGAACCACAATCTGTTAAATCCTTACACAAACACAAACAACAAAAAAAGAGCTAAAGACATCTTGAACGTATGATGAGAGATTATATATAAAAGAGAGAGACTGAGAGAATGATTATGATAATAATGACTGCGTGATAATGAATGAGACATTAAAAAAAAAAAACACGATTTTCCCACAACGACACCTGATTCCAATTATGTCGTCACACATGAAACACCTGACAATATTATTAATTAATCATCATTATTTTAAATATTCACAAATTAAATATTATATCGGATCTCACCATATACCATATATAAAACCTTAATTATATGTATATCATATAAATTACACATTATAAATATATATATATAATAAGATTATTAAAAAAAAAAAAAAAAAAACAGCAAAAGTAAGCATGAAGCGTCTTATCACAATGATATCGACATATATATAAATATGTCAACATAATATTGTTCCTGTATACTATTATTATTATTAATATTATAATTATTATTATTATTTTTTTTTTTATATAAATATATATATATATTATTAGTTTTGCACGATTATTGCAATTTATATAGTTATTAAAATAAATAAATGAAAAATAAATAAAAAAACATGAAACAAAAGGTCATGTTATTATATTAATGTTATTACTATTATTATTATTATTATTATTATTATGGCTATTTAAAAAATATTTAAAAAAAAAATAAATTCACTTGCTTTAATTAATTATATACATATATACGTAAATATATTTTCCATGACCTTATTAATAAATAATGTAATGCACACACACAAACACATTTTACAAATGAAATTATATATATATTTATTTATGTATTTATGTATTATTTATAAATATAAATAAATAAATTATGTATGTAAATATATTATTTATGTGTGTTTCTTATATTATTTTATTTTATTAAAAAAAAAAAAAAAAACGTAGATTATTATAGATTATTATTATTAAAAATAAAAAATAAAAAATAAATGTAATTTTTGTCAAATCTGTTTATTTTTTATTTTCTCGCGAAAGAAAACGGTGACGTCACAAAAGTTTAAAAATTAAAGAGAGAGAAAGAGAGAGGGGGGTAATAAATTATTTTCCCTCCTTTTTCAATAATTAATTAATTAGAGTCCATCTTAAATTTATTAACTTTATCAATAATAATAATAATAAAATGTATCGGAGTATTTAGCTTTAGTTTAAATTTTGCCACATTTTCGCCCTGTTCACGCCATCTTTTTTTTTTTAAGGGGACCCCCTTCCTCCCCTTCGCGATTGCTATCATAAGATAAATCGATTGCCCTATATCATAGTAAAAAAAAAAAAATTGAATTGAAAATTTTTCACGAGTGATATAAAATAAAAAATAATAAAAAAAAAATGTCACCGCCTTTTCGAATTTTATTATTATTATTATTATTATTATTATTATTATTATTATTATTATTTTGAAAATAAAATTTATGTAAACAAATAAACTATTTAATTAACTTAAAAAGTATTTTCAATTTTTTTTTTTTTTTTTTTTTAAATATTTTTTTTTCGGATGATTTTGTTATTAAACTTTTATTGATTAATTGGTTTAAAAAATTCGTTGCTTCCACGATCATGTTTAAGAAATAATAATGATGATGATGATGATGATGATGATGATGATTACGAATAATATGACGAATTTTTAAATATAAGAAAAAACGAAAAAAAAAAAAAAACCTATTTATTATTATTATTATTATTAACGTCGTCGTCGTCTTTGTCGTCATCGTCGTAGTCGTCGTAATAGTTAAAAAAAAATATTATTATTACTATTGTTATCGTGTATATTATATGTAATCGCAAAATTAATGAAAAGACAATATTTGAAAATGTTTGTTATGAAATGAAAACCGTTCATGTTGTTCTGTCGTTTTTTGGATTTTGCATTTTTTACGTATTGAACGCTGATTGGTTGGATAAATTATACGAAAATTTTATCGAATTTTATTTATTTGGTGATTTCGAAGAAGTCGCACCTTTTATTTCTTCAGGTGAGTTAGAAAAACCGTCCGCCATTTTATCATTTACAAATTATCATTTATCATCAGTATTATTAATATTAATATTTTCGATCGCGTCCCCCCCTTCTTATTTCGTTCTATCTCATTATTCGCTCTCACGTAAAAATAAAATTCGCCTACGTAATAATAATAATAATAATAATAATAATAATAATAATAATAATAATAATAAATCAATAAATAATCAGTATACGTTTTGTTTTGTTTTTGTTTCGACGAAAATCAAACAAAAAATTTTCATTGCTCGTGACATTCGTGATTTTTCTCAGATCGTCACGTGACGATTTTTTTTCACTGACAAACATTGACGAAAATAAAAAAAAAAAAAAAAGAAAAAACCAAATCAGGTATGGGGGTCACGTCGACGTCGACGTCAAATGAAAAAAAAATTATTTTAGTCATATTATTATTATTATTATTTACTCTTATGTCGTAGAATTTTTCTCTTCTACATCTTAAACGCGTCAAAAAAGTGACAGGATTTGGCTTTCGTTTTTCCTATTTTTATAATAATAATAATAATAATAATAATAATAATAATAATAATAATAATAATAGGAATGACGATGACGATGATGATGATGATGATGATGATACTGACACATCTTGGTTATGTTTTCCATAACATTTATCATCTTTTTTTTTTTTTTTTTTTAATAGAAATTTAACCTTGAGCCGTCTTTATAAAACATTATACACATGTTCTTTTTAACCTGTTATTATCATTATCATTATTATTATTAAAGAAAAAATATATTAAAAAAATTGAATCGATATAGAAAAAAAAAAAAAAATAGATTGTTTATCATCTGGAGTGCCATTGTTTAAAACGACAATTCATTTTGCCTGGAGTGTCAAAATAATCGAGGGCCCACCATTTTTTTTTTTTTTTTTTTTATCATTCGAACGTTTATAATTTACATCAAGATTTATTTATTTTTTCCAAAAAATATTTTCCAGTTACGAACGGAGCAAAAGAATTCGATAGATTGATAGAAGATCTAGCAAAATCCAAAAAAAAATGGTATAAATCCTTTTACGTGTTTTCATTCGTGACGATATCGTTAATTTTTTTCACGCTTTTCTATTATTTAAATATATTTTCGAAAAATCGCGGAATAATAAAAGCGAGCCATGATTTTATTAAACAATTTTACGTTTTTCAAAATCACAACGTCAAACCCGACAAGGAAGAAATACAAAATTTGGTCATTGAATTTTTAGAAAAAAATTTCAAAAATATAAATTGCAACAAATTCGGCGACGACGTGCCCGTTAAATTACTATGGAAAGGAGGAACCCTCGTCGAATCATCGATACATTGCAACGTGAGAGACGAATCCGCGGAACCTAAAATTTTATGTATGAAAAAAAAAACGAAATTATTAGTGCAATGCGGAGACGTGGGAAGCGGAGATGAAAAATCACAATTATCACCGACATCGAGCGAAGAATGCACCGTATCGAAAATTGCGGAAATACGAAAACTACTGGAATCCGAACCGGAAATTAAAAAAACACACGCGGACAAAGATGATTGCATTGATGACGTCATCGATATAAATGCGGACGAGAGAATATCGATTCGTAGGAAAAACATGTTGAAAAAAACGTCGCAAACATGTTTTCCACCGAAAATCGGATACTGTAGGAAATCCATTTGTCATAAAACTTCGAAAGATTTTATTGATAGAAATGTCAGCGTGCAAGAAGAAGTAGAAGAAGTGGAAGAAGAAGAAGAAGGAGGAGGAGGAGAAGAAGAAACAGAAGAAACAGAAGCAACAGAAGCAACAGAAGAAGAAGATGAATATTATCAATCGAGAGATTGTTTATCGAATCGATCCGAAGAAAATGGTGATAAATATTACGAAGATTGGAATTGGGATAACGTAACAGATCCGAAATTAATGAATCGTATTAAATTATTAGAAACGAGATTGAAAATAGAAGAACTTAAAAATAAAAATTGGATAAATAGAATGTCGAGAGCAGAAGGAATTTTACAACAGTTAAACAAACAGGTATAGTTTTTTTTTTTTTTCTTTCCCTTCCCCCCCCCCTAACTATAAACAATTTTTTTTTTTGTAAAAAACGAAAACGTAAACAATGAGTCGAGTATAAGATGTATGGATAAACCGGAAGGAAAAGTATAAAGAGAGAGAGAGAGAGAGAAAAGGTTATGACGTAAATGTACATTTTGTTACAAATATATGTATGTGTAATCAACCTCGACAGGTTGAAAGAGGAATTGATTCCATGTCGAAAGGAGTTAACTCAAGCTTAATCTCAGGTAGAGCTTATCGAGGAGACGCGTCCGATGGAGACAAGAACGGAAACGTTGAAGATAACGAGCACGGTGACAAATTGGGCTTCTACCACCACCACGCATCCAAAGAGGAATACACAATTCACTCTTGTCAATCAATATCAACCTTTTTGTACGCAAATTCCGTCCATGTCGCTTAGCGAAGTCATAAAAAAGGAGGTAAGATAATCATTTTAATACATTTATTCCCTTCTCTTCCATTCCCTATTTCTCCATTACCACATCTCGTGTGCAACCATCTTCGAAATAACCGAAAAAAAGAAAAAAAATTTTTAATAAACAATTGAAAATCGGCCAAGTTCATTAAAAACTTTGAAACATAAAAAAAAAACAAAAATTGAAACTTGGGTTTTTTTTTTCTAACAACTAAATTGACCGAGTCACTTGTATCAAAGCCAAATTATTTGGCCGAAAAATATTTGCTGAGTTAGTTTATGCCAATGCCACCTTGACCTAATGGATAACTAAAAAAATAATAATAATAATAATAGATATCAATCTAAATGGTTAAATCATATTAATTGAGACACGCATATAGAAAAATATTCAATAAAAATGATAAATTTTATCAACTTATTAAAAGCATCATTAACTAAATGAATCACAATTATTGATTATTGATTATTATTTAATGCGTAAATAAATGTTTGAGTTAATTAGATTAATATTTACCCCCCCCCCCAGTGTTATGAAACAATAGGTGATTATCAACATTATTATTATGTAATAAATAGATCTACGATTGTTTCAAGTTCATTTATAGAAAAATTTGAATATTTGTTTTTAATATTGTAATGTAAAAATACCGATCTTATAGAAAACGGTTATAAATAAATTAAAAATTTTTAAAAACAATAACAAATAATTCTTAACAATTTAAATGTTTATATCTTATGACAATGTTAAAGTTTGTGTTTTGTTTTTCTCTAAGAGACTCATATAAGAGTGAACTAACTCATGCTTAAGATTTTTTACTTTGATTTGCCCTTTTATGTGATAAAAATCAGAAAAAAATAAAGTTAAAGAAACATTATCGAATAAGCAAACAGTAACAATAATAACAGCCACAAAAATAGCATCTACAGCAGCAGCAACAACAAAAATAGCAATGACAAGAATAATAATAACCACAACAACAATAACAACTGTAAAAACGACTACAAAACAGCAGCACTAACAAAAACTACAACAACAACAACAAAATCAGCCACACCAACAAAAACTACAACCATGACAACGGCAACAAAATCTGCAGCAGCAACAAAAACAATAAACACGTTAACAAAAACAGCAATGATAACAATAATATCAACAACAACTAACTAACTGACAATAATAACTGCAAAAACGAAAACAAAAATAGCAGCAGCACCAACAACGAAAATAACAAAAGCAATAACAATAATAATAACAACAACAACGACAATCACAATTGCAAAAATGACAACAAAAACAGCAGCAGCACCAACAACGAAAATAACAAAAGCAATAACAATAATAATAACAACAACAACGACAATCACAATTGCAAAAATGACAACAAAAACAGCAGCAGCACCAACAACGAGAATAACAAAAGCAATAACAACAATAATAACAACAATAATAATAACAACAATAATAACAACAATAATAATTACAATAATAACAACAACGACAGTAACAACTATAAAAATAACCACAAAAACAGAATCACCAACAAAAACTACAACCGCGACAATGGCAACAAAATCTACAGGAGCAGCAGCAACAACAACAAACATTCAATTTTTTTTATTTATTTAGCTTTTGCAAATGTTTTTTTGTTAGGCAAACTTGTCAACAAAAAAAGGCAACAACAAGACAACGACAAATAAAACTTTTTTCTTTTTTTGCCAATTGCAAAAAACATTTAACATAATTAAATGTTTAAACGTTAAAATTCGTACACGATTTAAAAAATTAAAAATGTCTAACGTTTCGAATCGAACGAACGAACGTACGAACGTACGAACGAATTTAATTAATAGTTTTTTAAATTTCATTTTAAAAAGTTTTTAACGATCATATAAATTTCGTTATGACAAGTTAAAACATAATAAAACTCGTTCGTACAAACACGAATAATAAAAGTTTAATAATAAACTCACCCTTTTGTATAATTACAGATTGGTATACCAACGTGGAAAGAAGATAGTGCGAGACTATTTAATACGGTTGTACCGACTCCTTCCCTTCCACCCATACCTTCCCCGAATTCATTGCCACAATCATTATTAAGATTTAGCAGATTTTTTTCTAAATAAATAAATAAATAAAAAATTACAGTTATTTATTTAATAGTTCTTATTTAAAAAAAAAAAAAATTAAAATTACTATTTTATAAATAATTATAAAAAAAGTTATTAATAATAATAATAATAATAATAATAATGATATAACAAGACAATTTATTTAATTTTAACAAAATCGATTAAGCCAACGAATAAAATAGATTATTATTATTATTATTATTATAATTGCTTGTATATATGAAACTTACTTATTAATAATCTATTTATATTTATTCATTTTTTTTTTTTTAAATTATAATTTTAAATTTTATTTATATACACATATATTTATTATTATTATTATTATATAAGGGAATAATACGTGTCATTTGTAATATTATTACTTTTTCTTTTTTTTTTTTGTCATGAGTGGTAAATTTTTAAAAGAAATATATGTAGTAAGCACAAAATGGTTTCTTTTATAAACCTGATACCACACACACACACACACACACACACACACACAAGCACATTGTTTCATTTGAATGAAAATGATAAGTTTTTTCTAAACAAACATGTAGTTAAATGATGATAATAATGATGATATGAGATATAATCAGTTGAAGGTTTAATGGGGTTGCATGCTTAACGTTGATTGTGATCACAACCAACATGAATACTTTGAAGGAGTCAAAGGTTGGTTGTAGTGTAGTGGTATAGTAGGTTTGGTGGTTATAGTCAGGTTGGTTGAAGAGGGTTGATTTGTTAAAGTTGTTGGTCAGTTGGGGTTGTATAACTCCCCGGAATTTCAGTTATAACTTGTTTAAGTAAATGCAAACTTGTATCTTAAGTGGTGGATGAAAATGATGCAGCATTAGTACTTTAGATGGTATAATGGTACTACATTAGATGGTAGCATGGTGAGTGAAAGGTTGACAATATTACCATTCAAACATCTCTCTCTCTCTTTCTCTTGATTCAAAAACTCTGAAACATTATAAAAAGAGATAGATTAATTACTTTCAAGTGTGATTCACTATAATCCCAGGAGGCACATTCAGATTTTTTGATTGATTTGAGATTCCTTTTTGTCTTTAATGTTTTCATATTGTTCTAAACAACTTTTATATTGCTCATGGTCTAGTATACTTCAATATTGCTCAGGGTATCATAATTTTGTTTCCAATTACAATGCAAAGACTTGTTTGTTAGACGCAGTGAAGAAGTGCACTCCTTTCTTTCTTATTCTTTTTCATTAATTACTCATATTGATAATTAATCAGATTCGATTTTGTTTCTTAATGTATCAGTTTTAAATAACAATAACATAATCACCTGTAAAACAAATGAATCAATTAAAAAATTTTATCATATGTAATGGATGAAAAAATGAATGCATTAAAATGGCGGCATAAGTTTCTAATTAAACGCATTAAGTCATTTCATCCAGCGTTATTTCAAACAAGATAAAATGAGTTAATTTCATAGAAATGTCAAAAAAATAAAATTTATACAGATAATAGTGAAAGTAGATAAATATTATAATGCATTATTAGAATTAAATGTGTAAAACAGAAAAGAAAAAAAACCTGATCGTGATTTCTTTTTTATAATCGAACGCGGCCATTTTGAAATGATTAGCCGTTAAAATGAATTGAAAATCTTTATCGTCATATTTTTTATTCATAAAACACTTAACCTTTTTTCTTTTTTAATTTACGGTTTTCTCTCTTTCTCTCCGTTACTTTAGAAATAATAATAATTATAATTAATTTAAATTAAACAAGTTTACACCACACGCGAATAAAAAAAAAAAAATTAAAAAAAAAAAAACGCACTAATAAAAATTTCAAACGCACGCACTTTATTCACTTTAACGTGGCGTTAGAAGCGGTAGAAAGAAATGGAAAGAAATGGAAAAAACTTCGAATTCGTTAAAAAGGCGGTGAGATGAATTTTTTTTTTTTTTCGTTTCAGTTATGGTGAAACAAGAATAGATGAAAGACGAACGTTCGTACGTTAACGTTAACGAAATTTTTTTCTTTTTTTTTTTTTTTTCTTTTTCGTTTTTATTTTTAGCAAAAAATAAAATTTTGTTTTTCGATTTCTATTTCGATTCTTTCGTCGATTGTTATTTAAAAAAATGTGTTTTTTTTTTTTTAATATATCGGGATATTTTATTTTAATATTACAAATTAATTTTGTTGTTTTAATTAAGATAATTTCGAATAGTTTATTTTTAAATTTTTTTTTTTTTTTTTTTTTGAAAAATTTATATATATAATAATAATTAAAGTGGATTTGAAATATTTTTTTTGAATACTCGAGGTAAGATATTTTTATTTTATATATATGTTTTAAATAAAAGTTATAAATAATTTGAAAAAAAAAAAAAAAAAAAAATTAAAAACAGAAATGAAAAAAAATTTTTAAAACGTTTTAAAACATTTTTAAATTTTATTTATAAATAAAATAAAATTTAAAAAAAATGGTGTGCGTTTTAACGAAACTAAAATAAAATTCCAACGACGTTTTAAAATTTTTTTTTAAATTAGTTTTTTAATTTTTTTTTGGTGTTTGATTTGCCATCATCACCTCCACCATCATCCCAAACACCACCAATTATCATCATCATCATCATCATCATCATCATCATCATCATCATAACCAACACCATCACCACCACCACCACCACCATCACTACTACCACCATCACCATCACCATCACCATCACCACCACCAACCCTATCATCATAGCCAACATCACTAATAACACCATCATCATCATCACCAACACCAACACCATAACCATCATCATCACCATAACTAACACCACCATCTCCACCACCACCACCTCCATCATCATCAACATTACCACCACCACCACCACCACCATCATCATCATCATCATCATCATAACCGACACCATCATCAGCATCACCACCACCACCACCTCCATCATCATCAGCATAACCGACACCACCAAAAGCATCACCACCACCACCACCACCTCCATCATCATCAACATTACCATCACCACCACCACCACCACCATCATCATCATCACCATAATTGACAGCACCACCAGCATCACCACCACCTTTTCATTTAGGTTAATAACAATTTTTTTTTTTTCTTTTTTTTTATGTTTAATAAATATTAATTTTAATTTTAAAATAATTGCAAAAAGGTTTCGAATATGAAAAACCCTAAATTTTTTTTTTTTTTTTTTGGGGGAGGAGGAGGAATGGGTGGAAGGCATGTTACCCCTAATTTATTATAAAATCACGTTTAAATTTATAACTAATTTCCCCCCCCCCCAGGTCCCTCATTGGCGATCGAAGTGTATGTCACGAAAGAATTTTTTTTTTTTTTAAAATTTTCAATTAAGTTCGATTCGATTCGATTTTATTTTTTTAATAAAAAAAAAAAAAAAAATGGAGGGTCCCCCACACGAATTTATTAAAATTATTATTTTTTTTTAATTTTTTTTTGTAAATTCGAGAACGTTTGTATATATTTTTAAAAAAATTTTTTTTTCAAAATGGCATCCAATTTTTTTTGTTTTGTTTATTATTACAATCTTATTAAAATGAAACTAAACGAAATGTTATTCGTTTCATTTTAATTATTATTATTATTATTATTACTATTACTATTGTTTAAAATAATTTTTTATTTAATTTTAAAAAGTCAATAATGGCGTTTTAACGCCTTTCGTACCCCCCCCCCACCATCAAAACCTCCTCTTCAATTTCGTTTCCGTTTTAATTGGTTTTCTAATATATTATTTGACGGTTAATAAAAAATTATCATTATCATCACCGCCCTCGTCGTCGCCGTCGCCATTATTATTATTATTATTATTATTATTATTATTATTATTATTATTATTATTATTATTATCATCATATCGATTAATTTGCCTTCGAAAAAACGGATTCGAAATTTTTAGTTGTCGATTTATTTTTTTTTTTTTTCACGCCTCCCCCGGTTTGGACACAAAAAAAAATCGTTTGATCTATCGATCTATCGATCGATCAATCGATTGATCGATTACGTAATGTATTTGCACGTGTTTTAAAATGATTGATTCAAAGGAAAGATTTAAAAATAAAAAATTTTTTTACGAATTTTTCGTGTGTGTGTGTGTGTGTGTGTTCATGCGTGCGACATTTGACGGAAATTTTCTTTTTTTTTTTTTTTTCCAAAGGGGGGAGGTCGAGTAGGAGGGAGAGGAGGGAGCTAAGAATAAATTTATGACCCCCGAAAAATTTTTGAGAATTTTCAAAAGGAAAAAAAACGAAACGAAAAATTCGAATGAATGAGTTTATTGTTTACCGGAAATTGATAAGAGATTCGAGTGACGTTGAACCTGAAAGAAACCTGGAAATAACTCATCATCGGAGATAATAATGATGATGGGGAGTTTTAATCAACTGGAAAAGTCAACGGGGGGTGGGAAGGGGGAAATTATTCTAGGGCAAATTGTATGATTTCGATCAAACTTTTTGTTTGACTATTTATTTCGGGTTTGAATTTTTTTCGGCGGGAAAAGTTTTGATGATTTTTTAACATAAGGTTTAGTGGTAGGAGAAATTACGAATAAAGTGGTAGCAGAATAATTTCTAAAATTGAGTTTCCGTTAGAAAAAAAAATTAAAAAAATTCGAATCGTTTTCTTTTTCTTCAGGTTCGAACACGCCCGTGAAATACCTTGAACCAATAAGACGCGGAGGACCCTTTTTTTTTCTTGTTAACATCATTATTATTATTATTATTATTATCATCATCATTATCATCATCGTGATAAACAAATGAGGATTATATAGAGTGAAAGTAGTTTTAAAAAAATTCATTATTAATTTTTAAAGACGTTCTAGAAACGTCTTTATTGCTTTTAAACCGGAATCGAATTTGATTTGTTTTTATTTTTAATTTTTTTATTTTGATATTAATTAAAGCAGACGACGTTTCGAAACGGATAGAGGAGAAGGAGGAGGAAGAGGCGGGGGAAAGTTTTTTTTTTTTTACGTAAATTTATTTTATTTATTACGTTTAAGAAAGAAAAAAATAATTTTTGGGTTTGATATCGGAACGCGCACTCACACACATAAAATTGTTGTAGTGATGATGATGATGATGATAATTAATAAGGTTTTATAAGGTACTCAATATGTAAATGTGTTACCGAGGGGGAAACAATAAAAGGATGGGAAATTTACCCCGGGGGGGGGGGAGCGGTTAAAATTACGAACGAAATACATAATTTGACGCACGATTTATTGGTTTATTAATTTTTTTTTTTTCGGTTAGAAATAATAATAATGATGATGATGATGAAGATGAAGGAAGGGTAATGGTGGTGGTGGTGGTGGTGAGGATGAAGGTAGAGTAAAAACGGTGGTAGTATTAGTGGTAGGGGAAGTATTCGTGATTACAAAGATGATAGAGTTGGAAGGGTGATGGAAATGATGATGATGATGATGATGTTGATGGTGATGATGATGATGATTTTGTCGAATAGAAAAAAAAAAAAAAAAAAAAGAAGGAAAAAGTAACTTTTTGAACGTCCTCCGAATAACACGTAATTACAAAACAAGAAATATAAACTCCAAAAATTCGGGTGTGTTGTAAATGTTTCCTCCCCTCACTCCCTTCCCGTCTCCCGTCTTCTTTCCCTTTTTTACAAGTCAAATAAATTTTTTTTTTACTTTAAAAATAATAATAATAATAATGAGTGCTATTATTATTATTTTAAGTGTCAAACAAGTTTCGAATTTACAAGTAAAAAATTTTTAGGGTTGAAAAATTATATAAAATGATAATGATAATAATGATGATGATGATGATGATGATGATGATAATGATGATCGAACGAATGCAAAAAATTTCTTATTTCCGTTTCACCTTTTTTTCAGGGCATAAAAATATTCAAAGGATAATGACAAACATTTGGAATAATATTAATAATAATCATAATAATAATAGTAATAGTATTAATAATAATAATAATAATAATAATAGGTATTATTATTATTATTAAAAATGAAAAAACGACAACGATGACAACGAATCCAATCCGTGGAATACGTCGTAAAAAATCAGCATTATCCGAAGTCAAAGTCGCCGTTATCGGTGCTCCAGGCGTAGGTAAAAGCGGTGAGTTTATTATCATTATTATCATTTTTCCATTTTCTTCTGGTTTTTATCTTCTGGAATTTTACTCGCTTGTCTTGTAAAAAAAATCATCGAAAACAAAAAAAAAAAATGGAGGAATTCAAAAATCGTAATTAAAATAAAAAAAAAAAAAAAAAAAAAACAAAAAAATTTCAAGTAGGATTCGACGATATGACGAATGCGTTTGTTGTTGTTGTTGTTGTTGTTTGTCGCATTAAAACAAACGAATTATAATTTAAAAATAAAATAAAATGAAGGGCGATATAATTATTATTATTATTTAAAATTTTTTTTTTTTTTTTTTTGTAAATAATTAAAATGGAACGTCGACGTTTCGTAATTTAGCTCATTAGTAAAAGAAAAAGAAAAAAGTGGCAGCAGACCCTAACCGAAATATATATATATATATAAAAAAAAAAAAAAAAACAATTCGTGTAATTAAAATAAAAATTAAATTAATGTTCGAAACGTTCGAAATGTGTTAAAATGACCGTTATTTTTTCATCTCTTACGTCATAGAGTAAATAAATAATTTTTCTATTAACCATTTCCTTTTAAAAAAATTTTTTTGAATTTAATCGAACGTAGAACTTTTCTTCTTTGTTTGATGATAATGATGATAATTTTTCATATACAGCTCTGACCGTTAGATTTTTAACGAGGAGATACATCGGTGAATATGACCATCAAGCGGAAACGAGATATAAAAATGAAGTCCTCGTCGATTCCGAGCCCGTTTTATTTGAAATATTAGACACGTGTCCTAAGGTAAGTGAAGGTTAACAATCAAGTTCAATAAAAAAAAAAAACCCAACAAACACACATCATTAATTAATAATAATGATACTATTTGTTTATATAAAATAAAACTCTCTCTTTTCATTTAACAAAAATTGAAAACGACCCAAAAATTATATTTACGTTTGTAAATTCATATAATGATGATGATGATGATGATGAACGTTATTGTTCGCTCCCGTTTTGTCTTATTGTTGTTGTTGTTGTTGTTGTTGTGATGATTACAGAACGAAGATGAATTACCGAGCAATGAAACTTTACATTGGGCCGATGGTTTTCTTCTGGTTTATTCCATAACGGATCGTCAATCATTTAATTACGTGCGTAAAGTTAAAGAAATGCTCGATTGTTTCGATACTCCCATAACGCTCGTCGGAAACAAAGCAGACATGGTTCACCTGAGACAAGTGAGCGCGGACGAGGGTAAATATTTTATCCACGTTTGCGGTTTATCATTCCAATATGGCGACGCGTTTTCTTATCACGTCTTTTTACAGGTGAGATATTGGCAAAAGATTTCGAATGTTGGTTCAGCGAAGTTGCTGCTGCCGAACAAGTGACTCAAGTTGCCGAAGCCTTTCACGAACTTTGCCGTGAAGTACACATGATGAGAAGAAAAAACAAACAATCGTTACTCGATAGAATGTTGGGGGGTAAAACTGGGGGTATAAGAGTTTATTCTCGCGGTAAAAGCGACAGCGCTTTACCCAAAGAATAAAATTTAATAATGATAATGATAATATTTTAACCGTTTCCATTAACGATAATGATGATGATGATGATTTAAATCCCCATTCACATTTCACAAATTTCCTTCTAATTATTATTATTATTATTATTATTCCCATCGTTTTTTTTAGTTTTTTCAATTCCTTTAATATATCAATAAAAATTTATTTAAGCATTAAAAGACGGTTTTTTTTTTTTTTTTTTTTTAAATTCGGACTCTTTTTATTCAAATTAATTATAATCCGACATTCTTACATTATTTATTAACATAAATTTTTATTATTTATTTCATCGAATATTATTATTATTATTATTATCGAGTGATTTCGTGTTAATGTTTATCATCATTTATATTTATATATATTCCTCAATGTTTGACGTCTTTTTTTATTTATTTATTTATTTACATTAATTATATATTGTTTTAATTATATATTATTATGTATATTATTAATATTCAAATTTATACATTTTACCCTAAAAAAAAAAATAAATAAATAAATATTTATGTTGAAATGTTGAAATGTGTTTATTTATTTTCCTTTTTTCCCTCTCTCTCTCTCTTCTCCAGTACGTACAAAACCTTCAATAATTTATAGAGGTAAAAATAATTAATTTTTTTTTAAATCTTCTTATTGATTAATAATTCAATGGATGTGTTATCACTATTATCATTATCATTTCTTTAATTTTTATTACATAGAATATTTGTTATTCAATATCATCATTATGGCATCCCCAATTTTTCAATTAAAATAACAGAATAATTTTTTTTATTGATAAATAATAAAATATGTTTACTCCTTATTTATTTATTTATTATTATTAAAGATTTGAAAACTTTTATCAAGTATCAAATCGATTAATAAACACCTGTAAATAATTACAAAAAAAAAAAAAAAAAAAAATTATTAAAGATCATTTAAAACAATAAATATAAAAAAAAAAATATATTTACCTGTTTAAATATACAAAAATAAAAATTTTTATTTATTATTATTATTATTATTATTATTATTACTTTTTACAATTGAGGCACATTTTAAAAAAAATAGTTGAAATTTATTTATTTATTTATTTATTTATTTATTTATCGTCATAGGTTTGTAAAACATCAGCCAAATGTTCATTGTCTCTAGGTTTTTTAAATGTTCTTTTCTTTGCTACTTTTTTCCTCTTTATCGGAGCTGCTAATTTTTTAAGATTATGATCTTGCATTGATTTAATACCCTTTATATCAGTTAAAAAAAAAAAAAAAAAAAAAAAATTAAATCATTGATATTATTATTGAAATTAAAATAAGTAGATGTATTTGTTTAGGTTTTAAATTTACCTGTTTCTCTAAATATTCTTCAATTTTTTGATCGTCCATACTTTCCACAGCGACGGCTCTCCATAATTTTTGAAATTCTTCATCGATTGATAAATTTGCAGTTCTATCATTGTAAAATAAAATTTTTTTTTTATCCATAGGTCTTTGTATATAAATAATTTCATTGTTTAATATTCTTAAAATTTTTTCACAATTCGGTAGAGATTCTTGAATGTCTTCCAATAGAATCCCTCCCATACCTTTCAAATCGTGATGTTTTAATAATTTCAACATACTTTTTTTATCCCTGACTTTGTATGGGGGTTTAAATAAAAATTTTTGTTCAGGTGTGACTTCAACTTTGGGATTTCTAATTAAAGCTTCATTTAAAAGCCACTGTTTGACTTTGTTTCCAACATCCAATTGATTCGTTTCATCTAATAATTCTTCCAACGATAATGGATGATCATCGCCATCTTGATGTCTCGCTTTTAAATGCCTAACAATTTTAGCTAATACACCAAATTTATAATTTGAACTCCCTGTCATTGTTTTATATGTTGTGGCATCCAATTTAGGGCCTGATGATGCTGGCCTAGGCCTAGATTTTTTAGAATCATCTTTTGATTGTGATAACGGTGTACTGTTTTCTGATTTTTTTTTAGTTTCTACCCTGTAATTTTTTTTTTTTAAATAAAAAAAAAAAATAATTAAATATTTATACTTTACCTTCTTCAGAAGCTTAATTTGGACTTATATTATCAGGTAATTTTTACCAAAAAAATAAAAACAATAAATAATTTATGGAAAATAATATGTGAATTATAAAAAATTATAATTTATTAGCTTACGTGGGAGTCGTTAACGCTCTCTTTTTAAATAATTCTCTTTCTTTTAACAAAGCTGGATCCATTTTTTTTTTTTTTTTTTAAAGTAGTAATTCCTTTTGACAAGTAGACAAAAAAAAAATATTCCAAAAAGAACTCGTTATTATTTTACATGTTGTGAAGTTTATCTAGTTCCACGTCAACATAGAGTTCACATTCGAATTAAAAAGGAAGTTCGTTAAAAGCACATCTCACATCGGATTCATCTTTTTCAAAAACTATTTCAGGATTCGATTTTAAATCGTAATCGACCGAGTCTTGAGGAATTATGAACATTTCTTCAGGTTTACAACAATCAGTTTGTATGTTATAAAGTAAAGAAGGATATTTGTTAAAAATAGATTTTCTAAATGCCATGCAATAAAGATATTTGAGTTTTTCCAATCGGATTCTATTAAAACCAATACAAGCAGCACTTATTTTCCAATTTTTCATCAAGGAAGCATTTGCAGAAGCATGTTTCGAATCAGGAGTGACAATTAATAACAAACCATTTTCTTTCAAACATTTATAAGCGTTTAAACAAGCGATAAATCTTTGTTTGGGAGACGGAAGATATTCTAAAAATAAACTAAAAACGACAACGTTAAAAAAATTTGATGGTAGTTCGGACATATTATCTTTGAACGACCATTCGTTCGAATTCAAATTTTTAACGGTCACTTGTAAAAAATCACATTTTTTAACATCCGATGTCGCGGGATATAAATCGATTGGATAAACATTTAAAAAATTAAATTGTTTAAATGGATTAAAACAACTTCCGACATCTAACATTTTAAATGGAACGTCATTTAAACAATTTGATAAATTATTAAAATTCAAATTACTAGTAAACGTCGAATCGATCAAACCTTTTTCTTTCCAATTATTTAATTTTTTATATTCTTTATCGATTTCTTTTTCATATTCGTTTTTATAATAATAATCGTTTAAACAATTCATTATCCAATCGATTCGACACAAAAAATTTTCCGAAGAATCATCACCACTTTTATTATTAACAGACCAATAATTTTCAGAAAGTTTTTTCATATAATCGGCATATTTCGACAACATGTCATCGCTTTGAATATGTTCTTTCCAAGCATTTTCAGCGCCTATTTGTCGCGCTCTACGTCTTAGCGTCAAATGCACTTCTTTTATGTAATCGGATAAATTTTTTTGATCTCTCGATATCATTATAATGTTCGGATTTAAACAATTTAAATATAATTAACTTTTAACAACACATTAAAAAAATTTAATTTATTTATTTATGTACTCTCGAACTATTTATTATTCATTTACAGAATTAAAAAAAAAAAAAAAACAAAAAAATTAAACTAACATGTGTGTAATTTTTACAAAGTTGCGACAAAAACTGATCCTTCCATCCTGACACTACGTACTTCCGGTTTTGTGCGGAGTCAGACATATTGAATTTTAGAAAATAAAGGTAAGCGTGTATATTTCTCATACTTATTATTAGTATTAATTTCACAAATTTCGATATTAATTCATGTAAAATTTATTTATTTTCTTTTTTTTTACTTAATTATAACTCCTTAACGTACTTTCGCAAAGCTTTATTTAATTAATAATGTGTGAAAAAGAGGATAACACGTTTCCCTATGTTACACATTTATTCTAGAAACCACGTTTTTGAAATAGAATTTTTATTCGGAATAAAATTATTTAGTAGTAGAATTATCATTAATTCGTTTACGGTTTGTTAGTAATAAAATTATGTATTGAAAACCTTTATTAATTTTATTTAAATGTATTTTAGGTGTATTAACTTATTTTCAAAATGTCTTCGCATCTGAATTGGATGATAATTCGTAATAATAATGCATTTCTCGTTAAGAAAACAAATATAAAAAAACCTTTTAGTAAGGTTAGTAAATTGTTTAATTAATTTTTTCACACGAAATCGTATTTTGTTATGGATCGGGATTTAAAATTTGTAATAATTATTATTTTTTGTTTGTTTCAGGAACCTAATAATTTAACCAATCTTAATTCCTTCAGATACAATGGTATCATACATAAAAAATGTGTTGGTATCGAAGGTGGAAAAGCCCCTGAAAAAAAAGGTTTTACTGTCATCATGAAAAAAGCTAAAGCACATGTATGTATGAATTATTTTTTTTATTACAAAATTATTAATTTTCTTCTTTTCTCTCTCTCTCTCTCTCTCTCCATCATACATGATGAATATTATTATCACCAAGATCTCTGAGATGTATATATGATTACAAAATATTATCTGAGGAAAATTTTACTCAAATTAAAAAAAATTCATTTTAAAATAATTTTATGGAAAATGTTATTAATTTAATTTTTTTCCAGTATCGACCAGCAAAATCCTGTGTTCAAATTGAAATGAAATCAGGGCCGAGAAGATCTTTATATAAATTAAGAAGATTATTGGTTAAAAATCGTTACAGGATGGACCTCACAAAGGTACAGTTTGTTGTTTATAAGAAAATTCTTAATTTTTCTCTCTCTCTCTCTTTCTTTGTCTTACATGATGAATATCATAATCACCAAGATCTCTGAGATGTATTTTTATGATTACAATATTTTATCTGAGGAAAATTTTTACTCGAATTCATTTTAAAATAAATTTATGGAAAATTATTATTAATTTAATTTTTTTTTTTTGTTTGAATTTCAGGCTGCTTTGAGGAGAGCAAGTGCAGTTTTAAGATCTCAAAGAGCTCCAAAACCTAAGAAGACAAGAGCTAAAAAAACAGAATAGGAGACATTTTTTTTTAAAAAAAAAAAAAAAATAAAATAAATGTTTTATATAAAGCAAATCTTACTACATCTTTTTATTATTGTTTAACCCTCAGTTAACTCTGATCAAAAGAAAATGTCTGCATCTGATTGTAAGTTTTTTTTCATTTTCTTTAAAGGAAAATTTTATCATTTAAATTAAGGCTGTGAATAAGAAAAATTCAATTTTTCACTCTGACTTTTATATATATATATACTTACAGAAATAAAAATTCATCATTATTATCATCACGGTGAATGACGATTAATATCGAGTATTATTCAATTAAAAATAATAATAATAAATTACTCGAGTTCATTTTTATTTTATTATTATTATTATTATTATTACATAAAATTAACTTAAACGCTATAATACGGAAACGAATTCTTCGCTCATGTTTTCAACGGATTCCATGGATCCTTCTTTGACATCGACATGTTCGACTTTAACGAAACTGTCACACGGTTGAGATTGAGAATTTCCAGAATCCATACCTTCCACGGAGTCGATATCCACTTTGGTACATTCTCCGTTATATCCATGAGTGGAAGAATCTTTGAAATCTTCATCTTCGTTGTTGTTGACAATTCCGAGTGCGGATTCATCCGTTTGATTCATGAGTATGAAACCGACTTCGTTTCCCTCGTCGTCCACGTCGTCTTCTCCTTTTATCGAATCGTAGGGTATTATTTCAACGATTCTATTATTCGTGTTGACAATGTTTCCAATCATGTCGTCCGTGAGCAAAGTGCAAGGAATGTTTTCCCCTTCTTCCGTTTGTATGGTCAACATCTGAGATCCGCTGTTGTCGTTTTCTTTCAAAACCCACGTTTGATTTTGTAACGTCGCATCGACTTCCGATTTTTTCGTGTCTTTGACAACCATTTTGTACTCGGTCGGTTTTTTTTGCGTTTGCTGTCCCAGGAGAGAATTGTCGTTGTGAACTTTACTCATGTGCAACGCCATTTTATGCTTTCCGGAAAATCCTTGATCGCATATTTGACATGTGAATGGAAACACTCCCGTGTGCAACATCAAGTGACGTTTGAGAGTGTTTCCCACGGTGAAAGATTGATCGCAGTGAGGGCATTCGTAGGGTCGTTCGCCGGTGTGTTTTCTCTTGTGAACCGACAGGAGAGAAGAATGTTTAAACAATCGTCCGCAATATTCGCACTTGTAGGGAGTGGGATTGTCGTGCCACTTTCTGTGAATCCAATAAGTGGCTTGAAAAGAAAATTTTTTACCGCAAATTTCACACGAGTAACGTTCTTCTTTAGTATGTGATGCTCTGTGTTCTTCGTATCGAACTCTCGCCACGAATCCTTTTCCGCAAAATTCGCATTTGTATTTGAATTCTCCCGTGTGTATGGCCTTGTGATGACGTAATCCTGTGGGTGTTTGAAATATTCTATCGCAGTCCGTGCACTTAAATTGAGTTTTATCACTTTTCGCGTGACGAGCCTCGTGGGATTTTAATTGTTTTACGTTTCCAAATGCTTTATTGCACACTCTGCAATGTGAGACCGTGTGCGCGACTTCCCTGTGTTCGTTGAGAAATTTATCTCTTGCAAATTTTTCACCGCAATCGGGACACTGTATGTTCAAATTTTCCGGGTGTTTGATTTCGTGCAAGTGTAAAGCTCTCCTGTTTGTGAATTTTTCCGAGCAATGCACGCAGGTGTAGCTTTTAGATTGGAGCGTGACAGCATTGGCACCGTGTTCCGTCGCCAAATGCTTTTTCAACTCGTCCATTTGAAAATTTTTCTTGCATATCCAACACTTGAAGGCTTCGTGAGCCGACACGAAATGTTGTTTTAATGCGGCGAGCGTGGACGTTGAAAAAGAACATTCCGCGCAAACAAACGTTTTACCCTGTCCTTCTTGCAAATCACTTATCTCTAGTTTCCTTTCCGTTATTTCGTTTCCCTCCGTTTCATCGACATCATTATTTTGTTTCTCTTCATCCTTCACCTGAAACATGTTTTCAATAATGTCTTCAACAGATTTATCGTTTGCGTTTGCCTCACTTTCACTATTATCAATCTTGATTTTGTCATTAGTTGTTGCATTTTGAAAAATAACATTTCCATCGACTAATTGAACATTTAACGAATTAACATAGAGTAACTGATTTAATTCAAGATGAGAAGCCTCCTCACCTGCGTTTTCCTGAAACTCGGATTCCGGAACTTCTTCGTTAACCGTTTTCTTATGCATATCCAACGACGAATCCGTTAAACTATGATGGAGTTCTAACGTTTCCGTTTCATCATTTTTTTTCTCTTCGCCATTCGGAAAATCAAAATCGGGTTCTTCGCATTTCGTTATGTTTTTTTTATCATTGTCTTCGACGAAAAGATTCAATTCGTTTTGTTCGGATTGTTCCACGGGTTCCATTTCTTGATGCATGCTCAAATGTTGCAGATATAAATCCTCTTGCAAAAAACTTATGGAACATATGGGACACGAAAAAATCGTTTCCAAGGCTTCTTTGGTATCTTCGGGACTTCCGGGTAATATACTATCCTCGGCCATGGTTTCATTCTCGTGGGTTTTAACGTGATTTATTAATTCGAGTTTATTTTGAAAACCAATATCGCACCGCACGCACTTAAAGGTAACAGAACTCGTGTGATTGACTAAATGAATTTGAAGTTGACTGAAAGCTTCAAAACTTTCCGCGCAATGTGGACATTTAAAAGTGAGTACAGCTTTTTCTTTTTTACATTCCTCGACTTTTGTTTTAATCGTTTTACTATTCAATCTATCTCCCAAATGATTTTTCATATGCACTGTAAATTTTTTCTCTTCGTTAAAACTTATGTTACAAAAATGACATATCCACTTTGTCAAATGAGCTTCTATTTTATGATTCCTGATCATTTTTTGACTATCAAATTTTTTATCGCACATTGTACATTTATAAGCCATTGCACTGCATACCAATCTGTGACAAGACAAAAGGTCTTGTTCAGTTGTTATAAAATTACACGATTGACATTTCAATAACTGAACAGAACCAGGAGGTTTGGGTTTTATAGCACGAAATCGAATAGTTCTGTTTCCTTGTTTCAGCCTTTTCGTTTGAGGTTCAGGATCTTCTTCGATTTCACCATCTCGAACTAAAGCAAATTCCATTTCTACATCATTTTCAGTTTTAAAAGTTTCTGCAAAAATATTTCATAAAAATTTTTTGTTCAATTAAGACTATTATTAATTACAATTGATAAATAATAAATAAATTTCATGCTTACCAGTCTCTTTAATATCATCATTCAGTCCATATTTCTTTTTTAAGTGATTTCTCAGAGATCTCTTGACTAGTAATAAATCAGATTCTAATTTGTCAACATGATTAACTAAGGCATGACATTTACGACATAAAACATCATCAGCAGAAACGACCACCATGAATTTTTCTCCCATTAATTGTCCTATTTTGGTGGGTAGATCTGTATTAGATACTTGAGTAGTACTCTGAAGTAAAGGTACCCCGCTGCTTATAACTCTTTCATCGCAAACAAAGCATTTGCACATCTGCATTGTCGGAGCATTGATTTCGATAACTCTTGTAACAACTGGATTTAACTTTGGTAATATCGGTTTTAATGTTTTTAAATCTCCACTCGTTGTTTTCATCTATTACAAATAAAATATTTCAAACTTTATTATAAATAATTAGATTTATTTGTAAAACAGCTAATGCTAGTTGTTAAAAACCAACTTATGGTTATGAAGTTGTGCAGATTTAAAATTTTTATCTATGGTTGTATTAATTTAAGAAACTGAAAAAAAAAAAAAAAAGAAATTTTTTTTTTGTGGGTGATTAATGAACAGTTAGTAAAGTAATAATAAAATTCTTATTAGTCATTCAGCTTAGCAAGATAAATTCATAGTTTTATGAATTATAATTACATTTTAATTAATAAGAAAACTAAAAGGAAAATTTTCATAGGGAAATTTTGATAAAAGCATAAGTTGAAAGTTTAATTTTTTTTCTTTCTTTCTTTTTTTTTTTTTTTAAATAAGTTGTAATGTAAATATAAAAAAAAAAATTTGGCGTTAAATGGGAGTTTTTAATAAGAGCCCGCCAACTTTGCTTTATTGCTTTGTGATTTGATTTCAGAAAATCACAATCCGGCAGTGACGTGGTTCAAGGTCAAACATAAAACAAATTATTGAATTTTTGAATGAACCCTAGGACGCACACTACGCCATAATTAATTTTAGCAGAATCATTACGTAACTTCAAAAAATTTTATGTATTACCTTGGAAGTCACTTTTAAATTCCCTGAGCTCATTTTTTAAATATTTAACGTCAAAAACTCATTTGAACCCAGCCACATGCAAAAATTAATTACCAATTTTATGTAAACTTAATCAGGGCGACAACATCATCAAGGAAAAAATAATTCAATAGTTTTTTTCGAAATATATTTTTTATCATTCAAATGAATTAAAAGAATACGTTGATTAATTTTAATATTAATATGTTTTGATTTAATTGTAATTAGATAAATTTCGTAATTGCAAATAAATATTTTTTTACGATTATTCAATTCGATATATCGAATCGCCTTTGGCATGGCGGTTTAGTCGTTTTCAAAGTTATGGCCAAGCTCTCAAAAGTTTTTTTTTATTCACGTCTTTTTATCGTCTCTATTTATTTTAACTTTATAAATAATCATTGGATTGGTCTTTCGGTTTTTTCTAAAAACGCAATGATTGTAGTTTTTAATAGTCATTTGTAAATTATGTGCCTTATAAATGTATCCAGGCAACAGTTAAAAACAGAAATTCGGTATTGAGTACCGGTATGTTGCCTTTCAAACGTTTTTTTAAAATACTCATATTTCGGTGAATGATTCAAAAATGCGAACCCTTTGCAAATGGGAGTTACAACATGATCATTGGTTAGATTCACAATCGTTAAATTATATTAATTAATTATTTAAATTAACATAATGTATTGAATATATGTAATGATCGATAAATTTTTTTTTTTAGCGTTTATGATTTGTGCTTTAATCCCGAGGGAACGCAACTTATTGCTGCCATAGGACTTAAGGTATATGCTTACGATGTTGTAGAAGGTGTATTACTTCAAGCTTTGAGAGGACATAAAGATAACGTTTATTGCGTTTGTTATGCAAAAGATGGGAAGAAATTTGCTTCTGGTAGTGCAGATAAAACAGTTATTATTTGGACTTCAAAACTTGAAGGCATTTTAAAATATACGTAAGTTATATTTGATTCTAAACAAAAAACATTTTTTGGTCAATAATTTCTTTTTTTTTATATAAAAAGAATCAGTTAAATCTATGTGTTTTCTTTACAGTCATAACGATGCCATTCAGTGTTTGGCATACAATCCAGTAACTTTAGTTTTAGCCAGTTGTGCCGTTTCTGATTTTGGATTTTGGGCAGGAGATCAAAAATCTGTTCAAAAACATAAATCTCATGCTAGAATAACTTCTTGTTCTTGGACAAAAGATGGTCTTTATTTGGCTTTGGGTTTGGCAAATGGTAGTGTCTCCATTCGAAATAAGGTACCATAAAGTTTTTCCTTTTTTCATTTTGATTTTATTAATTATATATGTAATTTCTTTATAAACTTTTATAAATTTATTATAGTCAGGAGAAGAAAAAGGAAGAATTGACAGGCCTGGAGGTCTTCAAACGCCTATTTGGTCTCTTTCGTGGAGTCCAGTAAGGTAAAAAAATCATATTTTATACATTCAAATTAAAGTAATTAGTTGTAAAATTATAATTTGCTCATTACTTTGATGGTTAAAAATACATAAAATTTATTTAATTGCAGAGAAGATGGACATGATGTTTTATGTGTAGCAGATTGGGGCCAATATTTGTCGTTTTATACATTAGGTGGCAAACTAGTAAGTTACAATTGAATTTCAAACTCTTTTTGTAAAAAACATTTGACTATTATTATGAAATTTGTTTTATTAGATAGAAAAAGAATTCATCCTTGGATTTGATCCTTTGAGAGTCAGTTATTTAAACTCTGGAGACTATGTATTAGTGGCTGGAACGGGAAAAACATGTAACCTTCACACCAAAGAAGGTGTTAAATTAGGAACCATAGGTCCAATTCGAAAATCATGGATATGGTGTTGTGCAGCAAATCCTGATAATGATTTTGTGGTAAAATATTTTTTTCTTATGATAATCCTTTAACAATTTGTTGAAAATTAATAAAACTATAAAAATTCCAGGCTCTTGGAACTCAAGATGGTTCTCTTGCATACTATCAATTAAGTTTCAATGTCGTTCACGGGCTCTACAAAGAACGTTATGCATATAGAGAAAGCATGACGGACGTAATAATTCAACATCTCATAACAGATCAAAAAGTTCGAATTAAATGTCGAGATTTAATTAAAAAAGTTGCCATATACAAAGATCGATTAGCCGTAAGTTATAATAGGAAATGTTTTTTTTTTTTTTTTTAAACATAAGGAGGACAAATTAAATTGGGGGGGGGGGAATTAAAATTTTTAAGGTACAATTACCTGAAAGGATCGTTATTTATGAACTTGCTTCAACGGATTCAACAGGAATGCATTATAAAGTTCGAGAAAAAGTCAATTTAAAACTTCAATGTAATCTTTTAGTTGTTTGTTCCGAGCACGTGATATTATGTCAGGTATTTTAATAAAAATTATTATTATTATTTAAATTTAAAATCGATATGTTAATTTTTGGGTTATTAAATAGGATAAAAGATTACAATGTTTAACATTATCTGGTGAAAACGTACGAGAGTGGATCATGGATTCGACAATAAGGTACATAAAAGTCGTAGGTGGCCCACCTGGATCAGAAGGAATGTTATTAGGATTAAAAAATGGCGAAGTGTGTTTTTATTTGTAAAAGAAATATGAATTTGTTTTTGGCTTAAACTGATTGATTAATATTTTTACGCAGGTGAAAAAAATCTTTGTCGACAATGCATTTCCGATAGATTTAATTAAAGTTCCTCATCCGATAAAATGTCTGGATTTAAGCAAATCGAGAATGAAGTTGGCAGCCGTGGAAGATACGAATCAGGTTCACGTTTACGATTTGGAAACGAAAGAATTGATTTATCAAGAACCGAATGCAACGAGTGCAGCTTGGAATTCGTATTTCGAAGACATCCTTTGTTTTTCTTGCAATGATGTTTTAAGCATAAAAGTCAGCAATTTTCCAATCAATCATCAAAAATTATCGGTTGGTATTATTATAATTGCAAAAAATAAAAAAAATTATTTTGTTTTTGTTTCGATCAAGGTGTTGCTCTTGTTGATTTTCAGGGTGTTGCAGTTGGATTTTCCGGTTCTAAATTGTTTTGTTTAAACGATTCAACCATGACGACAATCGAAGTCCCTCTATCTGCTCCTCTATTTCAATACATGGAAAAAAAAATGTTTAGGTGAATAGGAAAACGTCCATCAACTTTAGTAGATGTTTTTTTTTTTTTGTTTTTTCACGTCTTAATTATTTGATTTTTAGTGAAGCTTATCAAGTTGCGTGTTTAGGAGTACCCGAAGAAGATTGGGAAAATTTAGCTAACGCAGCTTTGGATAATTTCGAATTCGAAATAGCAAAACTTGCTTTTATAAGAGTTAAAAATTTAAAATATTTAAATCTCATACACGATTTTCAGGTATGGTTATTATTATTACAATTAGGAGTAGTTAAATTTCAATGTTTGGAATGAAACGTGTTTGTTTTTTTTTTTTTTTTTTTTTTAAGGAACGACAGAAAAAATCTGATAAAAACAAAGAATTATTTTTAGCGGATATTTGCGCTTTCCGTGGAAAATATAGAGAAGCTGCTAAATTATATCAAAAAGCTGGTCACGAACAAAAAGCATTAAATATGTTTACTGATTTGAGAATGTTTGATGTTGCACAGGTGAACATTTTTGTGTTTTTTTTTTTTTACTTAAAGTAAAATTTGCGCTTGTTTTAAACGAAATTAATTTCAAATAGGAATATTTGGGATCCGGAGATAACATAAATCGGAAATCATTGCTTAGAAAAAAAGCAGAATGGGCGAAAAACATAAACGAACCAAGAGCAGCGGCTGAAATGTATTTGTCTGCTGGTGACACAATGAACGCCATTGAAATCATTGCGGAAAACGGTTGGGTCGACACGTAAGTTTTCCACGTCTTTTGCCTCGAGTCAATCGTTTGCAATGTTACAATTATTACGATATCCTGCGGGTAGGTTATTAGACGTCGGACGAAAACTCGACAAAGCGGATAGAGAAGGAATCGAACTCGTGGCACGTCACTTGCAACGATTGGGAGCATTGAATTTTTCAACGGAAATGTATAGGAAATTGGGAGAGGAAAAAAGTGTCGTGTTGCTTCACGTCGAAGCCAAAGATTGGAAGGAAGCGTTTGCTCTAGCCGAACGTCATCCCGAATTCAAGGATTTAGTGTACGCGCCCTACGCACGATGGTTGGCCGAAAACGATAGATTTGTCGAAGCTCAAAAAGGTTGGTGAACGATGAAAGGTTTTCGGAGGAGGAGAAAGAATTACGAGAATATTTTCCGATGTTTTCCTTTTTATTTTTAGCTTTTCATCAAGCTGGAAAATTGGACGAAGCTTTCGACGTGTTGCAAAAATTAACGGATAATGCTGTGAACGAAGGACGATTTCAAGATGCCGGGTATTATTATTGGGTTCTGGCGCAACAATATTTGGAATCGGCCAACGACAAAGAAGGAGAAGATCGAGACATTTTGATTGATAATTATTTCAAAAGCGAAAGATTGGCTTCGATATATTACACGTACGACAACATTCAAAAATATATTGTGAGTGCGCGGCGGTTGATTTTTACTTTTAATTATTATTATTATTATTATTACTACTATCATATTTGTTTGTTTGGTAGGATGAACCTTTTACTCCGTACATGCCGGAAGCACTTTTTAACATAGCCATGTATTTAACGCACGAGATAAAAGAAAAAAGGCCGCCGGGAGTTTCGCAATTGTATCCTTTTTTATCAAAGCTCACATCAATTTTACGTCAAACTCACGAATTATAATTTCCTTGACGAGTATATAATTCAGCGCCATTTTGTATGCTCTCTCGAAACAGGCTTGCAGTTTGGGAGCGTTCAAGTTAGCAAGACAAGTTTTGGACAAAATTCAAACATTAAAAGTTCCTCTGAGGTTTCAAGAATACATAGACGTGTCTACAATTCTCGTAAGAGCGAAACCCTATCACGACAACGACGAAATGCTACCCATGTGCTACAGATGTTCTTCGTACAATCCCCTTTCTTGCACGACGGGTTCAAATTCTTGCACGAATTGTCGTCAACCTTTCGTTTATTCATTTTTTTCTTTCGGTAAAAAATTTATTTAAGTTATACGTTTTTCTTCTCTCTTCAGTCGGGGAGAGTCGATTTGACTTATTCGCATGTTTCTAGAAATTCTTCCGCTCGTGGAATTCGTTTTGGAAGATGGGATAACCGATGAAGAAGCCGTGAAACTCATCGAAACGCCTCCGTCTTACGGGAGCGAAAGTAAAGACAATAAAGAAAACGGTTGGATACAAACGGAAGGGGAAAGTTATCAAATGTTACACTTTGAAGAAAATTCATCGACGGTCGATCCGTTCACGGCAAAACTCGTCAATTTCGACGTAAGTTTTTTTTTTTGGGGGGGATTTCATTTCGAAGGGGGTTTGGGAGGGGTTGAGAGAATAACAATTCGAATCCTGTTACAGATAGAAAAAGATGGTTTCACTCCGGTCACGGTCAATCGGTCGACATTGAAATCTTTAGATCCGAACGAAGTTTTGATAAGTCAACGTCCGAAACCACTAAGGTATCGATACTACAGGAACATAATACCTGATTTACCGATCGTCATTTGTCACTCGTGTCATAAGGTAATGATAAAAAAACAAAAGATTTTTCCAAAAAGGACAAACGAAAACGAGGAAAATGATTTTTTTAATATCATTTTAAGGCTTTTCACATGGACGACTACGAACTTCAAGTCTTACAAAAAGGTCACTGTCCATTTTGCAGAACTCCAAGTTTGGATTCTCCTATGAAAGATGTAAACGAAGATGAAATGATAAGAACGTACTCGTTGTGATATCTTATCAATCCAAAAAAACAATAACAATTTCAGTAAGAATATTATTAATACTCGCGATCTCATTTTTTAAAATTATTTATTAGGGTAATAAAAAAAAAAAAACGCTTATTGGAAAATGTTATCCGTCCATAAAAGAAAATAAAATAAAAAATTTATGTAAAAATTATCATTATTATTATTATTATTATTATTATTATTATTATTATTACTATCACTCATGATCACGAAGATTTGTCTTGATGTTTGTCAAAAATTTTTAAAACATTTATTCCAGGTTTCTATCCGCTTATCCCTAAGGAATAAAAATGCCTGAATACAAATGATGCTGCATGCTTGATATAACCTATGACGTCACGAAAATTCTTGTGAATCTCACAAACGTACAAACGAGTTAATTCCTGTTAATTCCTGGACTCCGGTGATCCAGACTCAAGAGTAGTAGTGACTGACAAATCCTCATTTTAGGTATTCATTCTCAGGTTCGTTGCATTTTTTTTTTTTTAATAATGGCGACAATTTTCGTCACGTGTTTGTCGGTTTTTTTTTTTTTCAAAATTCATTCATTCATTCCACGTTTTTAAATTGTTAAATCCCTAGGGATAAATGATTCTACGTCCGTCTCTTTGAGTAAGTTTTTATAACCTAAACAGCATCACACGACAATTCTCTATTATTATTATTATCGTGAAAAGAATTTTTGGGTTTTTGTCGTTTGTTGTCGTTTGTTGTTGTTGTTGTTGTTCATTCAAAGAGAACAAACAAATGATTTTTAACGTTTCGATTGAGAGTAAGAGTAATATGAGTGGTTAGAGAAAGAGATTTAATATCGCGGAGGCTTTGTAAAATTTAAAAAAAAAAAAAACGTTCGAATAATTAATTAAAAAAAAAAAAAGGAGGGGGGGGATTTTTTTTCCCGGTTCGAATTTAATCCGGGTTAAAAAAAAAAGGGGGGGAAAAATTGGGAAGGGAGGGGGATTTTTTTTTAACATTCAAAGTAATAAATTTGATTTGTTTGCAAAAAAAATTTTTTTTTTTTTTTTATAACAAGCAAACAATTTAGAAAGCAACATAAAGTTAAAATTTTGAAAAATAGGTAAAAGAAAAAAAAAAGGAAAAAAGGAAAAAGTTTGAGGGGGGGGGGCGCTTTAATGCGAATCGGTGGGGCTGGGGGTGAGAACGAAGCAAAGAGAAAAAAAAAAAAAATAGAAAAGGATGGATGGATGGATGGATGAATGTTGGAGAGAGAAATGGTGTAATAGGATGGGATGGGGTGGAATGGGGGGTGGTGGTGGGGGGAAGCACACAAAGGAAAGAAGAAAAAAAGTTTAAAAATTTATTTTTAGTAAATATTTTTCAAAAATTATTCTTTACGCTTTTACGATTCCGTTAAAATTTAATCGGAAAAAAAAAAAAAAGGAAAAAGGAAAAATAGAAAGAAAAGTTTTATTCCTTTTTTCCTTTTTTTTCCGCCATCTTTTTTTTTTCACTTTTCTTTTTTTTTTTTTTTCTTTTTTTGATTATTTGTTATTAAAAAAAAGGGGGGGAACAATTTTTTTTTTTTTCTTCAACGATTGTTACCAACTTTGAAAAAATAAAATAAAAAAAAATTTACATCCGTTTAAAAATCAATTTACCAAAAAGAAAAAAAAGGGGGGGGTGGGAGAAGGTGGAGGCGGGGCTAAGGGAGAAAATTGGAAAGAGAAAAAGAGAGGGGAGAACGATGGGGGGTGGGTGAGATGAATGAGGTAATAAAAGAGAGGAGGGAAAAAAAAAAAAGTACGAGTGCATGGATGGCAAGGGTGAAAGAGTGTGAGAAGGGGGTGAATGTAGTAAGGGTTGGTGGGGTGGAGTGAGGGGAGAGTAGGAGGTGGTGGGGGGAAATAAAAACAATAAAAAATTGAGGTTAATAGAATTTTGAAAAGGTTTTTGCGTTTGGAATGTTAAAAATTTAATTTCCGATTTGAATTTTACCCTTTTTTCTCTCTTTCTCTCTCTCTCTCTCTTTTTTTTAGTTTTTGTTTTTGTTTTTCTCGTTTTTTTTGTAAATTTTTATCTCTATTTATCTTTTTAATATTTGCTTTTCTCTCTCTCTCCCCAATTTTTTTATTTTTATTTTTACTTCCTTTTATCGTTTCCTTTTCGATTGTTAATTGTTTTTAATGATGAAATTGACAAAACTTTATTCGGTACTGTATTCCAAGCAATCATCATCATTATTATTATTATTATTATTTATTATTTTAAATAAAAATGGTGGAAAATTAAAAACAAAAAATAATAATAATAATAAGATAATAATTTGTTAAAAGTCGTGACGTAACGGAAATTATTTTTAAAATTTGACGGATGTGGAAACGGTTGAAATGTTTTAAATGTTTGGCGCTACTTCCCCTCACTTCCTCCCTCTCCCTCTCCCTCCCTCCATTTAGTATTCTCTGCCGGTTTCACCTTATTTTCCTTCCCCTCCTATTTTCCCCCTCATTTTTACCCACGACTCATTTCGCACATCATTCCACTCTCCCTCTTTTTTCCGCAGCACCTCATTCCACTATCTCTCCTTTCCCCCTTTCCCTTCTCCCCTTTTTAACGACATTTTTTTTATTTTGGGGGGTCTCATTAAAAAAAAAAAGTTTAATTTTAAATGCATTAACTTAAAACGGTTTTGTTTTCGTTCACACCTTTGAAAAAAAGGATTCGTATTAATAATTGGATTAAAATTAATTTTCGGATTTTCAAAATGGCGGAAATTTTTTTTAAAAGTACGTCCGACTTTTTAATTGTTTTTTTTTTTTTTTTTTAAATCTTTTTTCTTTTCTTTTTTAATGCGACAGGATTGCCAACAGAATTTTTTTTTTTTTTGCGTTTTTTATATTTTTAATTTTTTTTAATAAAAAAAAGTGCGCCGTGATTGATTTAAGAATTCGTTTTAAAATCTTTTGATTTATTCATTTTTTTCTTCTTCTTCTTCTGCCACGATTTATTTTATTAATAAACGAATTTTTTTTTTTTTTTTTAATTTATTTTCGGCAATGACTAAATGAAAAATTGTAAAAAAAAAAAAGAAAAAAAGAAAATTGATGTATATCCATCGATAATTTTAACGACAGGAATAAAATATTATTATTATTATCATCATCATCATCATTATTATTATTATTATTATTATTATTATTATTATATTTTTTTTTTGTAGGAAAAAATAAAAAGAAAAAAAAAAGTTTTTAATAAAAAAAAAAAAAAAAAAAAAAGTTATATGTATTTCATTGTCAAAAGTCATAAAGTAAAATTTTCAATTGTGAACCTTTCGTTAAATTTCGGGGGGGGGGGAGGAATGGGAGGAAAGGGGAGGAAGGAGGGAGGGAAAAAAAAGGTAAAAAGGAAAAGTTTTTTTCGATAAAAATGAAAGAAAAAATAAGTTTTTTTTTTTTTTTTTTTTAAAAAAGAAAAAGAAAAGAAAAATTTTTTTTTTAATTGAATGAAAAAAAAAAAAAAAAAAAAAAAAAAAACTTTTTGTTTTTCGTGTAGCCATTTACGGAAAAGTTTATAACATTATAATTCTACTGCCACGTGTTTATTTCTCCAGTTATTATTTATGTAACCGTTAATTTTTTTTTTTTCCAGGTCGGATAAACGATTCGAGTGTAGACAAACGAACACAAAAAAAAAAAAATTTTTTTTTTTTTAAAAACGAAAACTTATCTCATTCCATGAAGAATCGTGGAAGGAACGTAAAAATTTTTAAAATGATAATGATGATGATGATGATAATAATGATGATATAATTTAAATAAGAAAAATGAAGACACCTTTTATGGATATGTCGATTGTTAGAATTCCAGGTGCGAGAAGAAATGACAAACGATGTTTCGATTGGAAAATCTGATACTTAATTAAAAAGGTAAGCGGAGGGGGGTGTAGGAGAAAAGAGTAGGGGGAGGAGTTTAGTAAAAATTTAAAAGTTAAAAAATTTATACTTTAGGAAACAAAAAAAAAAAAAAAATTCTAGAAAAAAAAAATTTTCATTTTAAATACAAAAATACGTGTCGCGATTATATTTATTTTTAAATCGGGTAAAAACCTGGAACGGATTTTTAAATTCACGAATTCCGGAAGTAGTTGCGGAAAATAAATAAATAAATAATAATAATAATAATGATAAAAAATTATTTTCTGGAGGAGATTCCATATAAAATCAATTTTTTTTTGATAAGTTATTATTATCGTTACTAAAAATTGCATGTTTCCCTCCAAAAAATGTTTTATTTTTAAATTTAAACCGGGAAAACCCTTTTATTATTATTATTATTATTATTATTTTATTAGAAGGATTTTTTCGTTCCAGCAAAAGAAAAAGAAAATTAATTAAATTTAAATTTATTTTTTTAAAATTGAGTCGTTCATTAGGTGGTATAATAATTACTTAAATCGTCGTGGATCGATCGATGATAAAAAAACTTCCGGTTAATTATTTCCGGTAACGAAATTCACGCCATTTTACATAATTTTCCCGTTACGTTTATTCTTTTCGTCGCGTCGTTCGGAAAAATTTAAAATTTTCCGGTATAAAATCAAAAATTTCATTTAAAAAAAAATGCAATTAATATTATTATTATTACTATTATTATTATTACTATTATTATTATTATTATTTTTCACTATTTTTTTTACTTCCGGTGAAAATGATTTTGTATGAAAATTAACGCAAAGAGAGAAAAAAAAATAATCGTGGCGGAGGAAACGACTTTAATTTTACGAACGCACGTGTTAAAATATTTTAAATTATTATTATTATTATTAAATATTTTAAATTTGAAAAAAAAATGGCGGGAAAAAACCGCCGCTCATTTCCGGTTACACAAAAAAATTATTTTTTTTTTTCCGGTCAAAAACGGTTTTTAAAAAAAATGTAAAAAATTTATTTTTTTTTATAGAAATTTTCGATTAATCGAAACTTAATTATTATTATTATTATTATTATTATTAATACAATCATTTTAAAGGTAATAATAATAATAATAATAATAATAATAATAATGATGATGATGATGATATTGTTTTCACATAAAAATCCGTTCATGACCTTTTTTTTTTATTTTCGGTTCCTTTTTTATTTATTTAAAACCGCAAAAAAAAAAAAAAATGAAATGAAATGACGACGAACGCCTGAAGGTTTTTCTCTCTTTTTCTCTCTCTCTCTTTCTCTCACTCACTTTTTCTCTCTTTTTTCGGCTTTTATTAAAATAAACCTTTTTTCTTTTCTTTTCTTTTATTTATTTTTCTTTTTATTATGTTAAACGAGGTTTTCCTTTAGGGCCTTCAAAAAAAAAAAAAAAAGGGCCTTTTTTTTTTTTTTAAAAACTTATCCTCTTACCCCCTCTTCTCCTCCCCCTTTTCCCCTCCAACCCCTTTTTTTTTATTTAGAATTTTCCCTTATTTTATTTTGTTTTTGTTAATTTTCCTTTTGTTGTTTTTTTATTATTATTAATTTTTTCTTTTCCCACTTTAAAAAAAAAACCCTAAAATGAGTTGTCCAGTCATTTTCCTTCTTTTTATTAATTAATTTAAAAAAAAAAAGAAAACTTTTTACCCTTTTTAAATAAGTCAAAAGGTCAAATTTAAATAACAAAACAAACGGGGTCGTTTCCCGAGAATTTAATAAAAAAAGAAGAAATTTTTTTTTTTTTTTTTTTTTTTTGTCTACGGCCACGATGTTTTTTTTTTTTTTCTTTCTTATTAGTTTTAATTATTTTTTTGGTTTCTTTTTTTTCTTTTCTCTTTTTGTTCAGGTATTAAAAAAATTTTTATTTTTACAAACGACAAACAACAAACGACAAACGACGAAAAAAATCGTATAACTTTATTTTTATGGATATACATTTCAGTTATTTAATGTTATGTTGAAAAAAATAATGTTTGAATAAGTTAAAGACGTAAAAAAAAGGTTGTTGGACATTTTTTTTTTTTGTACGCAGGTGGCTAATTTACAAACAACAACAACCACAACAACAACCACTATAACAAAAACAAAGACAACAAAATATATTTAAACATTTACTCGTTTATTTAAATAAATTATTATTATTATTATTTTTTTTTATGTTTTCGCTGAAAAACGTTTATGAAATAATAATTACACTTAATTTTTTTTTATGTAAAATTGTTTGTCACGTGATTTGTTTGTAATTGTTTTTCTCTTTTATTTAGAAAATGTCAAATGAATTAGAAAAAGAAGAAAAAAAAAACCGAAAGGAAATGAAGAGAAAAAAAAGTCTAGAGTGGATTAGAAAATTAAACGATGTGGGTAGAATATGTCAAAATTAGAATAAGAAGAAAGAAAAAGGAAAAGACAAAAAAAAAAAAAGAAGAAGAGAATCCAAAAATAAAAATGACCGACAGGCCCCCCCGCGCCGCCCCCCGACGAAAAAACAAAAACCGGATGAAAGAACAGCAGATGCTCATTAGCAAATGTTTTTGTATTTTTATTAAAATACAACCAGCCGGCACGCGACCGACTCCTGGATGTTTCAGGTATGATAAAAAAAAAGCAGATGAAACTAATAAAACGTGCATGCCCTAAGGTCCTTTTTTTTTTTTGGGAGAATATTATTATTATTATTATTATTGTAATAAGAATCGCTTGCGGGTTACGACTATGATGTTCTTCTCTCTTTGTGAAATTAAAAACCCACCTTTTGCCTTTTATTTATACATATTTTTTTTTTCTATCTCTGTCTCTCTCGTTTCACGTATATTTTACAATTTTTTTTTTTTTTTACTTTGTCTTTCGCACTCTTTATATTAAATTCATCATCATCATTATCATTAAAAATGGTAGTCGCCAGCGTCATCTGCTTCACGAAATTTTTATTTTATTTTATTTTTTTTCGGTTTAATTTTAAAACGAAAATACAAATTGGATGATTCAAATGGTTTTTTTTTTTTGGGGGGGGGGGTTTTGAAAGAAATATACTGAGAGAGAGAGAGAGAGAGAGAGAATAGATAGGACAGGGGTAGACAGAGAGGGATAGGGGGAGAATGGATAGGACAGAGACAGGTAAAGAGAGAGAAAAAAGAATTGAATAGGACACAGACTGAGAGAGCGAGAGGGAGAGAAGGAATAGATAGGACAGAGAGAGAATGAGTGAGAGAAAGAACAGATAGGGTAGAGACAGATAAAGAGAGAGAGAGAGAGAGAGAGAATGGATAGGACACAGGCAGAGAGAGCGAGAAGGAGAGAAGGAATAGATAGGACAGGGGGAGAGAAAAGGAATACATATAATAGAGATAGATAAAGAGAGAGAAAAAGAGTAAGAAAATGGATGAGACAGAGACTGACAAAGAGAGAGAGAGAGAGGGGGAAGAATGGATTGGACAGAAACTGATACAGAAAGAAAGAGAAAGAAAAGGAATAGGTAGGACCGACAAAGAGTGGATAGGATAGAGAGAAGGAAGAAATAGGGCAGAGGCAGAGACAGATAAAGAGAGAGAGAGGGGGGGGGAAAATAATTGGAGACGAAGATTTTAATTGAAATACGCGACGATATTGTCGAAAACACAAATTGGAGAAAATTAAACAAACACTTAAATCCTCGAGTTTTCGGTCGTCCTCGACATTTAAAAATTCCACCTTTGAAAATTCGTTTTCCATTATTATTATTATTATCATTATTATTATGTTCTGGAATTGAAATTTCCAAGTGTCACGTAATTTTCTATCTCTTGTTGTGTATTTTGTCCAGGATTTTGTCCGTGAAATTCACCTTAAATTATTTTTTAATTAAAAAAAATCTCTCTAAAGGGTCTCTCTCTCTCTTTCTCCACTTTATCTGACATTATTATTATTATTATTTCTGATATAAGTGGATTTAAAAAAAAAAAAATTTTTCTACAAAAATCCCTGGAAAAAATAATAATAATAATAACGATAAAAATATTTAAAGGGATTTTTCTTTGTCATTGTGACGTCATTAATGATTTTTATAAAATTTTTTACCTGATAGACAAAATTCATTCCCTCTTTTTAAAAATTTTTTCTCCCTCTCTCTCTCTCTCTCTTCCTCTCATCCCTCCACCCCCGTATTGATCGGAATTTTCTTTAAGAATTATATAAATATATTAAGTAATAATAATAATAATAATAATGGAATTAACAGTTTCGTGGAATCCACTAAAGAATCTGCTGGAGATTTTTTTTTTTCAAATTGTATTGAAACCTTTGCGTAAAAATTTAAATGGGGCGCCAAAATCAGAGATTCTCCAAAAAAAAAAAAAAGGATCAATTTTTCTTTCATTCAGGAAAAGAATTTCTTTTGTGTATTGAGAACACAAAAGAAACATTTTTTTTTTTTTTTTTGAAAATTTTTACTTGTTTTCCGTGAGAATTTTATGTTTTATTTTTATTTTTTTGAATCGTCTTCTTTTTTGGGGGGGAGGGAAGGAAGGAAGGGAAGGGAGGGAAAAATTTCTTACATTCCACATAATTCACATTAAATTTTTTTTTTTTTTTAAAATAAAAGTATCGAAACTGTTTGTTAGACGTCGAATGTCATCGTTGTCAGGATGGCCGAGCGGTCTAAGGCGCCAGACTCAAGGATTACCTTGTCCATTATTAATGGATTATATAAACGAGCGTTCTGGTCCTCACTGAGGGCGTGGGTTCGAATCCCACTTCTGACAATTAAAATTTTTTTTTTTTTAAATTTTTCGCATTATCAATGATTGATAATGTAATGATGACGTCACATTACGATAATATTAAATTTTATAGTTCGAACAAAAAAAAAATGGAGGACCAAAAAAAAAAATTAAAAAAAAAAAAATCATTTCGAATGATACTACCCATGAGGTATCTCGTAGTAGTTGGAGGAGGTGGAGGAGGGGGGTTAACGGGAGGCCCTTAAAAAACTGGTATTTTTTTTTTTTATACGCATCTGCCGTATGGCGTCTTTTTCCAGATAGCAGGTGGCCGCCAAATTCAGGGGTGTTCAAAAAAAAAAAACCAAAAAATATAAAAATCCGTTAATTTAAAAAAAAAAAAAAAACAATAAGTGGTGAAAATGATGAAATAATAATAATAATAATAAATTTGCTCCCGTTTGTATTTTTAAGAGTTTTGAACGATAGCAAAAAAAAGAAAAGAGAAATTTTATTTATTTATTTTTATTTGCCTTCGTTTAAAAAAAAAAAAAAAAAAAAAGCAGAAAATTTGTATGAAAATGTTTTTTTTTTGCTGTCGTAAATTTTAAAATTTTTTTAAGATGTCCCTGCCCCCCTTAAACGGTTAGCAAACTACCCCCCCGATCGTAAGAATCAAATTCAACAGGAGAGAGAAATGACAGGGAAAACAAAAGGAAAATTTACTTTTACATAAGAAACAAAAGAAACGACAGTTTTTTCAACCCTCCCCTCCCCTCATTCTTTTTTCTTCACCTTAAAAACCACCCTCCCAGCCACCCACCTCCCCAAAAAAATGAAAAATTTATTTCGTTTTGAAAAGTGATATATATAAATTTTCGTGAATAAGACGTAGTACAAACAAAATGAAAATTTTAAAAGTTTTGATGACGTGTTCATTACTATTTGATAATTGATGATGGGAAAACGTTTTCCACGTTTAAAGTGGAAAAAGAAAAAAAAAATTTTCCAGCTCCTTTTTCACTCGCTCCTTCTCTCATTTTTCTTTTATTACATGAAAAAAAAAAAAAAGTTTGGAAAACCGGAAATGGGAAAAATTTCAAGAGTTTAAAAAAAAAAAAGGACGAAGAATTAATAATTTGTTCGAGGGGGGAGGGAAGGAGGGGAAATAAAAAGAAAATTTTCAATTAAAAATAATATCATTATTATCATCATTGATAAAAAAAAAAAAATTTTTTTTTTTTTCAGGTTTTTTCTATTTGAAATAAAATCAAAAATATTCTCGTACGTACAAGATATAACTTGAACAAAACAAAAACAACCAACCTACCTACCTGTCCCAGAAAAATGCGTTTTCGTTTACACCTGGCTTTTGTTAACAAGGAAGAAGCAAATCACCCTCGTTTGTTGTTTGTACGCATGCGTGAACCTCGCGCAGCTGCTTCCGACATTGTTTGTTCGGTGACTTTTTTTTTTTTTTTTCTCTCCCATGTTTTTTTTTTTTTCGTTTTCATTCCCTCAGTTTACATCGTGAGTCGGTGGTGACAACAAACAAACAAACAAATATGATTATTATTATGTCGTCCATACGACGTTCGTGTTTATTCGCGACGTGTTTATTCGCGTTTTCTTTACCGTTCGTTTTAACTTTTAGTGATGGTTACAGTAATAATAATAATAATGTTGTTAATAATGATAATAATGTTAGAGACACCGTTAGAACTTTAAAAAGTCAAGTAAATGCTTTACTAGAAAGGAGACAAGAAGACTTTAACATATTAGAAGAATCAATTAGACGTTCGTTGGATAAAAATTCGGAATTGGCGACATTGAGGAAAGATTTGAACGACTTACGGTGAGTTTAATTATTTTTTTTATTTTTGTGTGTGCATGCGTGTGCGTGTGCGAACGCGTTAATGTGTTATTATTATTATTATTACCGTATGCCATCGTTACCGTCCATATAGTTATTTGTTGCGATGAATTCGTGATGATATTTACTGGAATTGATGATAGTCTGTTTGCTCCAGAGTTGATTATTTTGTCTCATATGGAAAATTCAATATGGCGGCGGTGTTTGATAATGATAACAAATTTGTTTGTGTTTGCAAATAAATAACACGCGTAGTCTGAATAATTTTCTTTATTACGTCATACGAAATGTAATTTTTTGCCTCACGTGATTTATTTATAAAAATAATTTTTATTCATTTTAATTAATTAATTAATTACGAAAAAAAAAAATTGCGACGACGATTTTTACGTGTGGGGGGGGAGGGTGGTGGGTGCGTTTTGTCGTACGGGATTAAAAATCTAAAACCACGACTATTAAACCTTGCGAAAGGTTTCGAAAAAAAACTTTCAACCCGACAAAATACTTTTTTTTTATCGGGGTTTTAATCTTCCATATTATATAAATTGGAAAATTATGCAAATCGTTATGACTCAATTATTTGTAATTACCGACCTCCCCACCTTATTTTACCCCCTCCTAAATTTACTTCCCCTTCTTTTCACACTTCAAACTCCTCCCTCTCCCGACGAAGTTTTTTTTTTTTTTTGTACCCCTTCCATAAGTCAATAAGTTTTGGTTGTGTTATTCCTTCCATCTCACCTGTGTCATTTCCCTTTCGTCTTCTCTTTCTCTCTCTCCCCACTTTTTTTTTTTTTTTACTTTCCCTTAACCTTTCTTTTCCCCCCCCCTCACACTTTTTGTCTCTCTCTCTCTTTCTCTTTCTCTTTCATTTTTTTTTTTGTTTTAATCCCTGTAAAATATTCACTTTAAACTCAATTAGGGTGTCATTGGCGACGAGGATTTTCAAATTTTTTTTTTCGTTCCATCCCCCTCTTCCCTTCTCCTTTTTCTTAACCTTCGTAACCTTTTTCGTAACCTTTTTTCCTTTTTTCTTTTTCGGTGAAATTTAGCATTCAAAAGATGTTACATTAATTGAGCGAGTTTCGAAAAAAAAAAAAAAAAAAGAAGAGGGAGAGAGAAAAAAAAATTGCGGTAATTTTTGTTCGAAAGGTAAAATAAAATACAGGGAAGGAGGAAGGGAAAAAAAGGTTGAAGGTGGAAAAGGTAAAAAAGGAGAAAGAGAAAAAGGGGAGAGAGAGGGAAAGAAAAAAAGCCAAAGGAAACAAAAAAAAAAAAAAAGAAACGATAGACGACTTCAAGTTTAAACCAAAATCCGTAAAAAAAAAAAAAGAAAAAAGAAAAAGAGAGAGAGAGAGAAAAAAAGAGAAAGTTTTTAACCAAAAAAGAAGTAGTTTTCATTTGGGGAGACAAACGAGAGAGAGGAAGGAGTTGAAAAATTAAGATGGCGCGAAAGGAGAGGAGGAGAAGGAGAGGGGGAAGGAAAAAAAAAAATAAAAAGTTGAAATGAAGAACTTTAAGTTTCATAAGAATGTACAGTGCGGGAAAGAGGGGGGGGGCGTAAGAAAAACTTTAGAAAGTGAATTTTTTTTTTTTTTTTTTTCATTGCCCGGAAAGAGAAAAAGTAAAAAAAAAAAAGTTCTCCCCTTTCCCCCCTGAGGGGTTAAAAAAAACAGAGAGAGAATGGGAAGCGCCCCATTTTACTTTCTTGATAAATTAAAAGAAAAATTTTTTTTGATGGTGAGTTTAATCTGATTTCATAAAGGAGTTTCTTTTACTCCTCCCCTTCCCTCCCTTCCCCCCCAAAAAACTCTTTTTTCTCCTTTTTTTTTTTATTCAGAAGTTGGTAACAACAACAACAACAGCGCGTTCGATGCGACGATAAAAAAAAAACGTTTAAAATTTTTTTTTTTTTTTTCTTCTTTACAACTTGGGAATTTGACAATTATTATTATTATTATTACTTTGTTTTTTACAACCGGAACTGGAAAAAAATGGGGAGGCTTTGTTCTCGTAGTATTATATCGATTTTTCCAAAACTAGATTATTTTTCCAGAAATCTAGGATCAGGAAAAGGTCAAAGGGTTCAGTAAAAAAAAAAAAAAAATTAAAAATAAAAAATAAATTTTTTTTTTTTGCGAGATGTCGTAAAATGGTTGTCGTGTTTTTTTTTTTTCTTCCAAGGGGTCGTGGGGGTCAAGGTTGAAAAAGACTAGAGTCGGGGTTGAAAAAGAGATTTAAAAGATGAAATACCAAAAAAAAAAAAAACAGAAAAGAAAAAAAGAGAAACCGAAAAGGCGGAAAGAAAAAAATTTGTCGAGAGAATGAAAAAGGTTAAGAAATGAGAGAAACGCGTAGGAAGATGGAAAAAAAAAAAAATAATAATAATAATAAAGAAGGGGATGAGATTTAAAAAAAAGGTTGAAAAAGAGTAGAACGAATGTGTGTGTGTGGGGGAGGTGGAGGAGGAAGTTGGGGAAAGAGGAGGAAGGTAGGAAAAAAAACTCGTGAGAATAAAATAAAAAAAAATCTCGAAACTAATTGTCGGATGAAAATTTTTTAAGTTTTGCTCCTTAGCCGGGATGCTGCGATTGTGATTGATTGATTGATTTTTCGCATCTTTCTCTTACGTCATTCTACCACCTTCTTCCTCTCTCCCTCCCCCTTCAATTTATTATTAAAAAAGGAAAAAAAGGAAAAATTAATGTTTGTACTGTTTATGATGTAAATTATATTTATCCGGGGAAAAAAAAAATTTTTTTTTCTTTTTTTTTTTGAGGGGGCGGGGGATGAGGAGCCAGAGCCGAGAGGGTTGAGCAGGAAAGACTACTTTACTACATAAATTGTTATTAAAAGAAACAAAAAAAAAATTATTATTATTATTTTTTTTTATTGCCTTTTTTTTATACGTTACAAATTATAACTCTTTAAATACGGCCGAGTGGTTCTTTTTTCTCTCTCTCTCTCTCTCATTCTATTTTTACCCTTTCGTGCGCATTTTTCATCTCTTTTTTTTTTTTTTTTCTAACAACGTATGTAATGTAATTATTTTGAAATATCCTATCGTATGTCATAAGTCGAGTTTCGATATTAGAAAAAAAAAAACAAAAGATTTACGCACGCATTTATTATTATTATTATTAAAGTTTTCCCTCGTGTCTTTTGTCAAATTTTTTTTTTACTCTCTCTCTCACACGCACATTTTCGTCTGCTATGTTTAGAAAAATATATATATATTACGATCCTTTTTTTGTTTTTTTTGGTTGAAGGTAAATGAAAACTCATGAAATGCCACCGGGGAAAAGTAATGGTGATAAAAAGTTTGAAAAATAATAGAGAGGGAGAGAGAGAGAAAAGGGAAGAGAGAAAGAAAGAGAAGGAGAGAGAAAAAGGAAAAGAGGGAATGTTAGAGAGAAAAAAGAGAAAAAATAAGGAAGAGAGAAAGAGAGAGAAAGAAATGAGAAAAAAAGGAGAGAAAAGAGAAGAGAGTGAGAGAGAGAGAGAAAGAGAGGGAGTGAGAGAGAGAGATAGAAAGTTAGTAAAATATGATTAAGTGATAGAGAAAGAAAATATATAAATATTTTTTTTCCTTCATTTTCTTTTTCTTTCTCCATCTCTTATTCAAAATGTAATCTTCGAGTGGTGGTGGTGGTGGTGGTAGCCAAAAAAAAAGGAAAAAAGGAAAAAAGAAACGAATAGAATTTTCCGACAGGTTTTCAACTTTACTTTTAAATCATTTACTGAAGAACCTTTTTTTTTCTCTCTCTCTCTCTCTCTCTCCTCTGAAAAAAAAATTTTTTGAAAACGTAATCTATTAGATTTTTAAAAAGGTTCAATGAATCCACGTAAAAAAAAAAAAAAAAAGGAAAAACCTTTTTCGTTCCTTTTTTTTTTTTTTTTTTAATATAAGTGGTATCAAGTGGTAATTAAAATGGCGAACGTTTGAAATCAGGTACGGTGGATAACAAACAAACAAAAAAAAAAAAAAAATTTTAATTAATTTTTCGCTGTCGTTTTTTTTTTTATTTTTTCCTCTTCTTCTTCTTCTTTGTTTTAACGTACAAACCCCCCCCTCTCCACACGCAAACACTTTTCGTTGAAAAATTTTCTAGAGTTTTTTTTTTTTTTTTTTTTTTTCATTTCGGGGGAAAAAAAAATTGAAAAGGTTAGAAAAAGTCAGGTACGAAATACAAATTTAAATTATTATTATTATTATTATTATGTAAAATTATGTTGCCTGGAGGGTTAAGGTGTTGAGTTAATATTTAAAATGGTTTCTTCTTCTTCTTTTTCTTTTTCTTTAAAAAAACACAAAAGGAAATAAAAATTTTCTTTCTCTTGAACGTGCCTTAATACATTTTCATAACTTTTACCTTTTCCCCTTTTTTTTCTTTTTTTTTTTTTTGTTTCGGGAGGGGGGAGGGAAAAAAAGAAAAAATGGAAAAGTGAAAAAGTAAAAAAAATAAATATGTACAAGAAAAACCGACGACGCATTACGTAAAAAAAAAAAAAAATAAATACATAAATATTTAAATATGATAGAAAATTTAAAGCGGAAATGCGAAAAAAAACGTGTCAGAAGATAAAGAAAATAATAATAATAAAATTTAATTTTATTAAAATTGGTTCGGTCGGGTGAGTAGGAGGGTAAGGAGGAGGAGGGGGATGGTGGCAGGGAAGAGGGGAGGACAAACAACAACAATGTAAAATAATAATAATAATAATAAAGAAAGATGAATGAGTGTAAGAAATGCACGAGCGAAATATTCAAATTGCAGGTTTAAAAAAAAAATATATTTATATGTGTGAATAATAATAATAATCATAGTTTATTCGTAAAAAGACAATTATTATTATTATTATTTGTGTTCGTAAGAATTTCCTGTGGAAATTTTTTTTTTTTTTTTTTTCACTTTTGCTTTTCCATAAACGATGAGAAAAAAAAGGAAAAAAAATTAAGTATAAATAAATAAAAACTTAGTCGTT